CTGCGCAGCCAGATTATAATAGCACATTCTCATAATTAGGTCCCTTTATAATATCCTTGCCCAATAACGGACTACCGGTAGCCGTCCAACCCGTTCCCGGATAGCAGCGGAAGAGTCAACCCGGGGTACCTCGCACCAGCCCTTTTTCAAGCTCTTACCCCAGTCCTTGCTAGTCTAACCGTAATTTCCTCCCTTGGGTGCCGTACTCGAGTAGAGTACCCGTAGAGATTTGACAAGAGTGCTTGATTTTTCTCAAAGTATGACAGAATACTTGATCCTATTATACTTATCATACTAACTCATGATAGAACCTTCGTTCCGATATATCTCCGGACTCATGTATGCTATCCCGGATCTCCATATCCCACGTGGGCGAATTAGAAAGAGGCAGTTCAAAGTACTCGTACTCGAGTAGTACTGTAGTAGCAGGCGTACTCGGAATACGGCACCGGTACTGCACCGTTGTGGTTGGTGAGGTGCGACTGAACAGTGCTGTGCTGTGCTGTACCAAGAATAGTTGCGGAATTACTTTATTCCGATATTTCCGGCATGTTCCGAGAGGACGATACTTGTACGATACTTGGGCGAAGTGCAACTCATGAATTTTTGTTTTTCTTTTGCCACAAGCTGAACCGCAGTCGATAGCTTAATTCAGAGAAAGCAGAAAATTTGCATAAGCGCAGAGGTAAACCAAAAGTGACGGTTGCCCCATCGAAGACTGCTTGCATTGGAGTCATTCTATTACCATACCGAGAGGCTCGAACCTAGCCACTACACAATACCAAACTCACATCCTCAACGGCGGTGAGTGAATTCTAAAAACCCTCCGCCATGCCCATCCACCCAGCAGAAGAAGTCACACGTTCAAACCTGAACACCGGTATGAGCGTTGCCGACACACACACCGACAGCCTAGGTATCTAATATTATAGCGTCACAGCTCCTTCCTGCGTGTATCAAAATCCACCACCAAGAACCACACCAGCGCCACCACTCCCCCCTCCCCCCAACCGAAACTCTTATTTCTCTCCAACAGTAATGTATATGGACCGTCACACCAGCAAACAAATCCTAAATCCCCCCCTTCTTCCAGCACCCGGAAAATCCCTCCCTACCCACCCACCAATCTCCTCATATCAAAATTTAAATCCCCAAATCCAGCAGGCAAATTGTCGGTGTACCGCGCGAGAAAGTGTCCAGTATAGTCAATTCCATTGAACAAGTGCCCACACCTGTAACCAAAAAAAAAAAAAAAAAGGGTGGATCGAGTATTATACAGTGCTCGAGCCTACATACATACAAAACCCCCTTCCACAATCCACCTACTAGGCACTGGACAACGTTCATCCCCTTCATAAATGTACTACGCCAGTCAATCCACCTAATATTTGCCAACCTGACAAGATCCCACATTCAATATCCTACCTATCCAAAGAACAAGGTTACCCGAGCACGCTAGATTCATGGAATTTGAACAGCACGGCTGGTCAAGCCCCGGTAGGCCCTCAAAAATTCTTTAACAGCGGCGTGACGAGCCGCGGTAGCTGGATACAACTACGAGTAGGCAGCCCACATGACTCGCGATGTTATCAACTCAGTGCCGAGGTTCAATGCCAGAAGTGACGAGGGTGGACGGTAAACCATTTCTTTGGCCATTTTTTTAGCAGGGTAACGGTGTACTGGATCCCTCTTTACCCGTTTTCACAAGGTCGGTCTTAAGATCTCATCACAGAATCCGGATCATGGATGAGGCCAAAGAATAGGAATGAACCCGGTAGCAAGGAAAACATCAGCAGATAGATAGGAGTTTATTTGGTAAATATTTATTCAATAGTAAGATTATATAACGGTGGAACGGATTACAGACCAGCTTTTTATAGAGACGGCAGAGTCAAGCTGGTCCGGCCTTGTCAGCCATTCCGTCCAGTAGGACACTTGATGACAAAGCAGGTATGGCTTTCCAAGGATAAAGAACAAGGAAGCTAAGAACGGGGATAACCATAACATCTTACACTGGTAAGTATATCAACCGGAAACAAGAATGAATTTCTTGAGAGTGTAAAGAAACCGCGAAGGAGGTTTGAGCGAGATCTCATGATTTCTAACGTTTCAAATCCCCCGACAGACAAACTATTTTCACCCCCCAATTTTCCTCAATGAGAGCTATATAGTCTTACGATCAATTAAATAAAAAGAAGTTAAAAGGCCCTCCGTTATTCACATGTGTCATTCCGGAGTTGCGCAGAAAAAGAAAAAAGAAAAAAGAAAAAAAAAAAAGATGTGACTTACACAGCCATAGAAAGCCGTCCTCAAAAGACTTCCTTCCCCCGAGAGTTGGACGTTTGTGAAACATCCCCACGTCCCACAAGATGCCGCACTTATAATGTATTACAGTAAGATAGACAGGAGGATGGGGAGGGTTAAGGTGGCATACCAAAGGCTCGCCGGTAAAGGATATCACAGCATCTCACTCGGTAGTCCATTACCATCCACACTTTCAAATACCGCCCTTCATCACAGTTAAACTAGCGATGTGCCTCGAACCAGACACGATGCCCTAAACGGGGGTTGTTATGTATTGGGAACATTGTAGCGTTCTTGCGTTATAAACTTGTAAGCAAGAGGTATCATATCTGCGCAAACCTTGACTTTCACATCCCTTGAGGATCCATTTACTCACAAACCCGTTTAGAGATGGTTAACACAGCCCACCATCCTCATCCCGGTACAGAAAGAACAAAGAATCCACCTTCCAGCCCCCACAGAGATATGGTGAACAGGGAGTTTCGAACCCCCCATCCACACCTCCAAATAAATGTATTATGATACCCCATATCCCTCCGAGCACAATCAGAGGTGTAAACTCCTCAAAAACCAGCCCGAGGTCCAGGAAGTACCATTAGAGTAAGGATCCATTTTGTCCATAGATGGGCTTCAATAGGGATCCAGGCTTTCACTTGCAATTTTACCAATCTCTTCAGAGTGGGCCTTCTCCCCAGGGGTAGATTAAGCCAATTATCTCATTTTCTTAATAGCGCTATCTTGAATATAACCGCTCGTGCACTTGCGGGGTTCAAACGGTCCATGACTTTCTTCCATATACACCCGCCCGGCAGCTAGCGCGATGTGATGTTTGCTTGTTAACTTACCACTCTTGAATGCTGGGGCACGCGCAATGGCACGCAAAACGACGTGCAACTCAAAAGCTATAGGGCCTTTTTTCACTCACATTCCCGGGGGGGTAGGAGTTTAGTCCGTGGGATAGGCGCTAAGCTGGCTAAATCATCACGACATTAATTTTCGCAATCATTTTTTCCGTGCCGGTGACACTCTCTTCCTAAGTCCCTCTAACCAAAGTTGTTCTGTTCTACCCGCAATAGAAAGGAATTTACCAAATTCCGCACGAAGCTGGCAGAAGTCTGAGCAGGGACAACTCTAACGCACACACGGGGACCCCGGACCCCCCGTCCGAAGAGCAACTATTTGATGGTGGTAAAACGGATCGCTCAGTTACTCGACTGGTTGGAGAGAGTGGAGATGTGAATTGACTATCTAATTGACAAAGGAAAGGTTGCTCGTAGAGAGTGAAGTAGACTAAACTAGGAAAAAACACAACAGGAGGGTAACAGAAATTTTCCCTTCTCGCATAAATGCTTAGCCATGCCACACAAATCTCCCGCATGCGTATATCTCATATTCCAGCTACCTGTTCATATGCCTCACCGTACTCACACCAATACTACCAGGATTACATGACCATCACTATTTAAGTACAAACCTTGTGAAGAGTGAGTAAATTGCTTCCGGTAGAGTAGCGGGGAAGGAATGATAATCATGGGATAGAAAAGCCTGGTAGTGGCCGTGGTTGTGAAGGAACAATGTCGACAGTGGAATTTGTGGAGGAAGGAAAGGAAAGGATGAGTGGACGTAACACTCTTATATGCCAATTTCGCGAGCCCTACCTTGGAACCATAAGGTGGCAGGAATAAGGTCACGTTAAAACAATTTATTTCGAAGACAACATTAGACATCTCTGCGAAAGAGTTATTTAGGCACTTTCCTTCCACTGATCACAGTTTATCACTCGATATTTTGGAAAGATATGTATCCCTTCAAACAGAGACTTTCAGTAGAGAACCTATCTAGGGGAACGACCACGTCAAGGACTAATTGATCGCTATCGCAAGTATCGGGAGCCTAAAATCCTACAGAAATCCCACACACACACAATGAGCCAAGTTATTGTTGAGCGATCCATTGCTCGGAGCAGGACGTAAACGGACAAATCCTACTCCACAGAAACTACCATAGGAGATCGGGAAAACCTTAGCTTTCCCCGATAAGTCTTCAGGGTGACATGAGGTGGTAGGATCAAGCTCTAGGCCATGCACCATGCATCATGCCAGGGTATCAGAAGAAGAAAATAAGAAAAAAGGAGCGAACGCGATCTGTCAAAGATATTAGAAATCTCTAGTATGGCTGGTGGGGGGGGAGGTCGTGATACTGCCCGGTTTACCAAAGTGATACATGGTACATATCCTTCACTCTACTAGAGACTTGATCCCAAGGGAGAGATAGAAAAGGGTCAAGAGTATCAAATCCCTTCCCAAAGATTGCCATGATAGAATGTATAATATTATCATAATAATTATTATTATAGTGCTCGCGCGTAAGTCACAGTCGGTCAATCGTTGTATCATGCCTCCTCGCAGGACAACAAAACTACACCAAAACGATGAAAAAATGCACATTCTAATCTCACCTTCCATGTCAACCCCTTCCCTAATTATTACAAAAACAGATCTACAAGCGGTTAAGAATCTAAGCGTTCAAAGTCCGGACTTTACTTTGTCAATTATGTAGTGGCTTGCCTAGCGCAGGTAATCCTACGGAGAGGAGCTACAACCTCCTGGGCGGGCGCACAAAATTTGAGCAGGCGACCATATAAAAGTTATATAATCAGAAAATTTCTCACTTCAGGTGTTCACTCACAGCTCAAATCTCATGATAACGTCTAGGATTCTAATGTATTGCCCACAACAAATGATTCTCCTTGCCCTTCTAATTCCGCAAAAACCGAATAGCAGGTTGTTGTATAAAATGCGAGAGTGACGATCAGCCATAGCAGCACATGGTACTACAAATCAAACACCAAACCCTGCAAAATCCTAGGGAAATCAAGCGATAAAAAAAGGAAAAAAAGGGAAAGACAGAGTTAAATAAAAATGCTTTCCAACCCCCCTCGATCTTTATACAGAATGCTAACCTTCTAAGTTACTGCCTATACCTCTCTTGACTTGGTCGAAAGCCAACACCCCACCATCTAGTCTTCAGCATCAAAGAACTACACACTACACTAACCGAACTAAACGCCATAGCCAAAGCCGCCCAGACAGGATCCAGCCTAATGCGCCGGTGAGCCACCGGGTACAGCACCCCCGCCGCCACCGGCAGAGCAATCAAATTGTAAATGCATGCCCAGAGGAAATTGAATTTGACCCTCCTAAACACCGCCCTGGCAAGCTCGGTCAGGGTGAGCAGCGATCGGAGGTCTGAGGATACGAGGATGAATTTTGCGCTAGAGATTGCTACGTCAGAGCCTGAGCCTATGGCAATACCGACGTCTGCTACTGAGAGCGCAGGGGCATCGTTTATTCCATCGCCGACCATAGCTACTATTGCTCGTTTGGATTTTGGAGAGTTCTTGCGGTGGAAGAAGCGGCGCCAGCCGGTGCGAGGCCGCTTAGGGAGGGTGCTTTGGAGAATAGCGATTTTATCGGCCTAGCAACGCGTGAGTAGAATAGCCACAAAAACTCCTGGGAAGGATGCATGCCTTTTCGGTGGGAAGTACTCCTGCAATTACATTCTCCGTTGGAATTCCTACCATTGAAGCTACTGCAATGGCGGTCTTCTCGTTATCACCCGAAATCATCCAAATTGATATACCGCTCTCTCGTATACTTGACACAACATTCGGCGCTTCCGGGCGGAGTGGATCAGTAGCACCAAAGAAGGCCGCCAGTCTGTATTCCGATCCAAAGATGTCCTTGTCGGCGGCTCCATGTTTCTTGATCGCCAGGAGGACAACACTCTTGCCCGCCAGCTTCCAACTATCTAGGACCCTTGTGTGGAGCTTGATATCAACAACACCATTCTCTTCCATGAACCGCTCATTCCCAATAATGCCCTCGAAAACATCGCCACCCGGCAGCTTAAACACCCCATTCAAACCTTTCCCAGGTGTCTCCTCAGTCTCCACCACTAAAATATCAGTCATCTCCTTCGTATCACAATGCGCGATCACAGCTATAGCAAGTGGATGTGCAGATCCCCCCTCTAGCTTGTGCGCAATAGCGTATGCAATCTCCCTAGCTTCGCTACCCTCAACGAGTATCCTCTCATCCGTAACCTTTGGTTCGCCACCCTGAGTCAATGTTCCAGTCTTATCAAAAACAATACAGTCCAACCATGAAGCCTCCTGAAAGGCCTCGCCGCCACCTTTCGCCAGAATACCAAACTTCGCCGCTAACCCGGAGCCAACGAATAAAGCAGTTGGCGCCGCAAGGCCGATCCCACAAGGACAAGCGATGACAAATACAGCGATGGCAAATCCGAGGGACCAAACAGCCCACCCTCCATGGTCAACATCCAGGTAGTAGTCAGGAAGGCGGCCTGATATACCTAATCCAAGCCAGACAACCCATGTTGTGACAGCAAGCAAAGTCACGACGGGAACAAAATACCCAGTTAGCACATCAGCCAGGCGCTCAATTGGCGCACGTCGAGTTTGACCCTCGCGAACAACCTTTACAATCTGGTCAAGCATTGAGTAACCTCCAATACAATCAACCCGTACATTGACGACTTGGCCCTGGTTGATGGTTCCCGCATAGACAAAATCGCCTTCCGATTTTGGCACCAGCCGTGCCTCCCCTGTTAAGGAGGACTCATCAAATTGCGAGTGACCAGATATGACAGTTCCATCGGCGGGGGGTGACGAGCCACGAACGATGCAAACGATATCACCGACTTCGAGAAGATCCGTGCTAATCGATCGGGTTCCCCAAGTTCTACTATCTGCGTATTCCGAATTGCTTGGGTCGTTCTCTCCAATCGGTGATTGGCTTGGGCCAGCCTTGAAAGCTGCTGCATCCGCCCCGATATCTGTTTGATCTGCTCTCACCACCAAAAGTGCTTCAGATGGCCGCAATTCCCTGAGCAAGTTTACTGCGTCCGCAGTCTTGCTCTTGCTATAGGCTTCCAAGAATCGACCTATACCAATTGTTAGCAAGAAAAACACAATAACCCAGATCATTGCTTACCAATCAGCAAAAACATCGTCAAGAAAACCGTTGAATCAAAGTAGGTAGTAGTGTGCGTTTCATATTTCGACTCCCCACGATCACCCATACCCTCCATTCCCATATGTGCCCCCGCGCGCCCATTAATACCCTCAGCCTTCATCATAGGCATGGTCACAGCATCCAATGCCAACAACACCACGCTTGCAAAGTATGATATTGAAACTCCCAACGAAACCAACAAGTTCATACTCCCAAATCTATAAAACCTCCGCAAAATTGGCACATTGCTTCCCTTCCTCCACTGCGCTCTTATCTCATGAATAGCACGTTTATGAAACACATCAGCCACGAAGAACATGACAGGTGTGCTTAAGAAGAGTAAAGCCCATCCTATTCTTGTAACACTTCCAGCCCACATTGGCTCTTGCAGATACTTTCGGACTCGGTCTTCCTTGGATACCAGAGTCATCCAGACTATTCCAATCATGAAGGTAGGGATAGCAATTATGAAGCATACGATGAGCCTAGTGAGCAGCCGATTTCGTTCACGAAGCTGCAACTGGCGGGAACGTTCCTCCATTGTTGGAGGGTGGTGTACCGATACCATAAACCCAGGGGAGATGGACGATATTGCAGCGGTTATGTGTCGTAAAGCAAAGCCAGGGGGTTGTGGTACATATTTGATATGAACGAGCCCAGATTGTCGAGTGATAGGGGCAACGATGCTAAGCAACTCATCCGGGAATGAGGATTCTAGAGCATCAATGACCTTTCCTGGGCAGTGATCACAGAACATTCCCTCAACCTTTAGCGTTACCGCTCTCTCCACCCCAACTCGGCCTTTGACCACAGTATCTGGCTCCCCCCCTAAAGCGTTGAGAGTTTCCAGCGAACATTCGAAGCCCGTCTCTTCCACCTCAAACACAAGCTTCTGTGCTCCCGTCTCCGCCCCACCCATTTCTTCGGCATTGAACACGACTGTCGCGCTGTTACCCATAAGGTTCACGCTCACAGACTTGACCTCCGGGAGGGCCTCCAGAACCTCAGTCACCCTACCAGTGCAAGAAGCGCAAGTCATCCCACCAATGGACATGACGGCTTCGTGCATTGTGTCTGCCGGAACAAATCCGGGAGTTTGCATATCTCTAACACCTCTCTGACCCACAGATACCTCGTTTTCCTTCGAAATTGCCACCTTTTCAGATGTCTCAGTCGCCGCAACATCCTCAGAAGGAACAGGACCCACCTGAGCCGTGGCACCACCTTTCCAGCCAGCTCCTATCGAAGACCGAGATGAAGATAGCCCCTTCTCCTGGAGAGCCTCATTCCTGCACAGCTCACAATTCTCCAAATGCCTCTCCCCCTCAGCATTCTTCTTCCCAACCACTTCTCTGATTCTCATCTGCATATCTTCCAGCCAATCGTAAGTATCCCCTTGAAAACTGATTATATGACCGCTCAAAGATGGCCCTATCATAGACTCCTCAGCACCGGATGCGCTAGAGACAGTATCAAGTTTAAACCCCGCCTCGAGCAGAACTCGAATGATATCCCGCGGAGAAAGTAGCTGAGTGTGAGTGACTATAACACTATGGTCCAGGATGCTAATAGAAATATCCAGTGGAGGAGGGGCCAGCCCCGAGAGTAATTCCTCGATAGCACTACTGCAGGTGAAGCAGTGAAGGTTGGGTATCAGTAGAGTAGTAATGACATTCTCCCCCAAACTGCCTGGCAACCGACTTATAACCTCATTAACCACAGGCATATTTTCGGAGAGGGGTAACGAGGGATTGGCAGGGGACGGCAAGGTAGTTTGTTGTGGGGTTGTGTCCGCCCTGGAAGACATTGTTTGCTTGGCCCTGAAGTTTCACCGTAATCCACGTCTACCGGGAAAATTGGATACGGTATCACCGGCTAGGAGTCACCGTCAGGAACTCTCCATACATGGCTATAGTGAGGCAAGGAGAGCCTTTGTGTTCTCGGGTTGCGGCGACTTACCTCACTGTAAATACCCTTATGCCGAACCTTGTTCCCCGGAGGTCAATAAAAAAAGGAAACTATCATAAAAAAAAAAGGTACTCAGGTAAGGTGTGTTGTATGTGTGGTCGCAGTATAGTGGCGGGGCGAGAGATATAGCTGCCTGTGACAATATATAAGAAAGGGCAGCGACAAAAGTTTGCTACTATGGAAAAGACAAGAAAAAAAGAAAAATCAAGTCCCACCCAAAGCAAGACAAACTCTAAGACCATAGGACCCCCGTTTGAACGCCCTACAGTAGCTATCGTAACACTGGCACAGCAACTCCTCCACCTATGATAGCACAAAAAAAGACACAGTATTACAAGGGTAAATCCTTTTGAGAAAGGGAAAACCCGGAAGGAAGTATGCACACAGATGATCGTATTGGGCGAACTAACCCACCGGCAGAGCACCTACTAATAATATAAGATACATACTATCATGCACCCCAGCGGGGGAACCTCCCCACTACTCAATATGAGGAGAAAACACAATAGAAATTCTCAACCCACCAATCTCGAAGCTTCCCGCTCCCAACGGAGGGGCAAAGAAGGGGATACATGCAAGTCCTGAATTCATGTCCCAGCACTTCTCGCTCAACATGAGCAAAAATTGCGTGCGGTCCCAGGATTAAGCTGCAATCCCTCACTGTACGAGTACTAGTAAGCCCAGTCTAGAACACTCCACCACTAGCTTCTCCAAGGCATATGATTCATGAACACACATAGGCTTATCATATGCCCCGGAAGTAGGCAAGCACCTCCTCTAACACGGCAGTCAGCCCCTCTGCCCGGTGACACCTATGACACCAGTTATTACTCGTATCCGTTTTTCCCACAGCCTAGCCTGTAGTACCAGTACAATAGACGGTTATTGGGATCCACCTCCCACCCCGCAAGGAGCAGTTTTTGCGGCGGTGGCGGCCGTGGTGGGACAAGAGATGCCCTCACTAAACTATGACTACGATGCCGTACCACATCCCATGCGGTAAGTAGGGTACGCACCCGTCTCCAGAAGGGAATGACGGTCCCTGTCGGCATTGCCATCAGTGTCAGTAGTCAGTGAGGAATGCATGGCATCCCCTTAGTGCGTCTCAGACGGGTGGAATGCTGGATGCATTCATCGGATCGCCAAATGAGATACGGTACGAGTACGAGACCATGAGTGCTGTAGACTATCGCAATGCAGGGCCATCCTCCAATAGAAGCCTTATATATCATAGACCAGTCCATTCTGAAGCTTAACCAATCACGATAGGCAACATGCTAGTATGATAGAACTGCTGTTATCGGAGGAGATCCTGTACACTAGTCCATTATTATACCAGCACACAGGCCTAGGCTATTCACAGCGTACTCTACTTGTGAAATGACTCGGAAATGAGAAATTCTTCACTGAAAGCCAACAACTGCCCCTTGCTAGGGAAGCCCGAGTGAGACAAAAACACTCCCTCCCACGATACGATACGATACGAGTACTGTACAATACTCGAGTACCCGAGCAAACTCACTGCCTCATCCCTAGTCTGCCCCTAGCATCAAAAGGCCCCAGACACCCTCCCTTCCTCCACCCCAGAGTTGTAACTCAATTCAACTTATTTCAAAGCGCAGCCAATGCCAGTCATGTCGTCAACAACCCACCGACGGCTACCAAGCCAAATCCGGCCTAACCAAACTTTTTACGCGAAAAACCCGCGAGCAAGCTTATTGGCCGGTTGTGATAAAAAGGCTTGGTATGCATAATTCCATAAAGATAATTATAATTAGTGAACCCACACCCCGCGCATCAACGGGTAGGTAAATTACGAGTGCTTGGTGTACAGTACCGGCAGGTTAGGCGATTCAGACGTTTGGTGGTCCAGCTGTACTCGAGCACTCGAGTAGCAGAGCTGAACTCGGCTACGGGGAAAGTAGAATACCGGTGGTCTACACGAGAGCGTTCTGCGGCTGGCTTGTTGTCAAGTTCTGGGATAAGAGAGATAAGGAGAGGGAAAGGAGAAGAAAGGAAGGTTAAGCTCTTGCTCAACACCACCACCACCATCACAATGCAAGCATCCTCCCAACCTCCATTCAGCCAACGAAAAAATGAAAAAATTTAATGAAAAATGAAAGAGAAAAAAAAAAAAAAAGAAAAGGCACTCTTCCCCCAAGCCCCTACCATCCAACCCCCCCAACAAAAAAAAAATCCGGAGATAGTATCATACAAGGGCCAGCGGAGACATTTCCGTATAAAGCAGGCACTACCCTGCCCGTCAACCTAAACCAAACGCTCACCAACTCTATCGTGAGCAATGTATCAAAGAATGGGGGATGATTGGATTAATAATGTTTGAAGGAGTCGGAACGAGCTTTTTTGAACCAAGGGGTCATAAGATAGAACCATAAAACGACAGTGAAAGGATCCAAAAGGTAGTAGAAGTAAATAAATTAGTATGCACAATGAAGTTGACGTTTCTCAACTTAGACATCTCTCAATCATTCCACTAATACCAAACACCATAAAAGTTGGCCCTCTCTTTGGCACTCCAGAAAAATATTTCAACATTCCACTCTTTCCACCATACTGTACGATAGCTCAACTTGCAGTCCTCCTAACAGATTTTTGTTTTCACCGCTAAAGTCGGAATGTCGGCTACTATGTGGATATGAGTTCTCTTTCGCCCCCGCTGACAAAGGGGATCCGAGGTTTAGCAAAAACCGAGGCCCAGTTTTTGCATACCACCATATAAAAACTTAATTTTTGCTAAATCCGGAATTCCATTGTCACCAAAGGTCATAAAAAATAAATAAATACCCAGACAGCCGTTACCATCCCGGCCATTGTGACGGAAACAAAAAAATCCATTTGGAGGACCATAAGCTGAGCCATCATCAAAAAAGGTGCGTTTTTCTGGCGTGCCAAACAGGGCCCAAGGCGTCAACCTTTTACCCCGACCGTACATAGTAATATCCCCAGCGTTCATTGGATTCAAGTTCCCCAATAAAACGAAGAGGACTATTGCTTGCGCTGGAAACTTTTCATCCGAGCAATTTGCTCCCCTTTCCTCACCTTCCAGCTAACCCCCAGGTTCGATCACCGAAGGCCTTCTTGGCAACATTAATTGTGGGCACCTGTATGATATATAGCTTATGATACTCGTACAGTACCATAACCAAACTCCCATTTTGCCCCCTCCCCGGACCTCGCTCCCGCCGCCATACCACAGCACTCGAGTACGGTACTGTACGGTGACGCCACCAAGAGATGATCTCCGATGTTTGTGTAACATAATATCATCAACCCTTACCTGTCCTACAATACTGTACCTATATTGCTTGCACTGATCCTTCTCCTCCCTGCGAACAAGAGGGAGAGAGATGGTGCTAGCGAGGAATTATCAGCAGTAACGGTAATTTGCAAACGGTGCCAACACCGCCAATTGTTTCTCATTGCACCGTACTGTCCGTCGGGTAGAACCGCCCAGGGCAATACCTCTCGACCAGTGACTCAGGTACAAGTACCCGTGGGAGATGTTTTCGTACAAGGCATGGATCACAAGTATCTCGCTGGTTAATTATCCCTGTCTTGTACGAAAACATCTCATGGGGTACTTGTAGGTACCGTACTCCGCCGTATAGGATTACCGTATTATTATTATTTTTCCCCCTCTCGATCTTGTGTTGCCATGGACTATCGAACCATAGACTAGGCACCGTCACCGTAAGACAAGTTAAGGCTTGGGCATTTGGGGGGGGGGAGGAGGAGGAGGGTAAACGGTGCTACAGAACATGGTTGATTTGGCTGATTGGTTTTGCCTAGATTGATTGCGAGCCAATGGTTTACTGAGACTGGTTCTGTACCGTGGAAGAGTACGGTAAGGAATACGAGAACAGCACTCGTATCCGTGCAACGCAATCATAGTATCATACAGTGTACGAGCGAGCGAAAAGTCGCAAGGTGCGATAGAATGGTAGAGACTGTGGTGTATGATACAGCAGTTATTTCGATCGTGTATCTCCCTGAAACTCTTTTTCCTTTTCCGCTCCGGAGGGATGCCTGAACGGGAGCCTGGGATTCCGTCCATCTTGCACAGTGCAGGAATAAAAAAAGTAGCACGGTGCAGAGTTGATTCTAGACAAAATTCTGGTAAAACGCAACCAAACTGCCCTCCCCAACAAAATACATGTTCTCATGGTGAAGAACCTCTTAAACCCGCATTAATTGCCATGCGGTTTCCAAACCTCAGAGATTAAGTACTTTTGGCTACAAGTTATTACTCCAAGAAATAAGAAAAAGAAAAAACATGGTGGCACAAACAAATGTTAGCAGATGGATGTGATCTCTACAGTAGTGAAGTACTGGCACTATAAATTAATATCAATCTTTTAAATAAGCCACCGGATTTAAAGCCAATTAAAGCGAGGACAAGTGAAGTTTAGGCACCATGCTCACTGAGCACCTATAAGTGTTTGACTCTGTGGGAAATGTGTTAGAAGAAAGGTCTTCTAGTAGTTCATCATTCACTGTGATTCTCCTTTGTCAATTCTATAGTATGAGAAGAAACACTGATTCTCTGAATGTTTCCTTCTCGAGTACACCACCTCCGTTAAGACATCACTTATGCACTCTACCATTTCTTGATGGGTGTGCCCTGTATGGAAGTGGTATTCTATAAGCGAGTGAGTGAGTGTCCTATCATGCTCGGGCAGCAGGAGTCCGTCTGGTCAGTCCGGTAGCTACTACCCGGTATCTTACAAGCACTCGTACTGTCGAAGCGTTCTCAAAAAGGGCTACTATTGCATACCACCCGTATCCAAGCAAAAGGGCCAGATCCCGGTGGCATGCAACAGCAGCCCTTTTTAAAAACTTCGCGCATTACAAGTAGACCATACAGTATCCAATTCCACCTCCAACCGTCACATTATTTATTTCATCTCCCCTCCCCCCGCATTCACATCGGACTACCCCACCATTATACCCACTATCATAGACCACTCCCCGCCCAGCAAACCCGACCCGCCACTACCACACAGCCAAGACGAAAACGAGATGGAGCAGGCATGCATAAAATCACGTGCCCTGTGCGGTCCTTGAGTCTTTTTTCTTTTCATTGCTTTTTAGCTTCTATACCATACGAATTTCATGTAGTGTTCTCGGCAGATAAGTTGTGGGCATTTCCGTTCTAGGGTTTCTCAAGATTGCGAGCTTTGTGCGGTGCATCGGTAAGGTGGTGCGTGATTGATGACAATGTAATACCGTACGAGTACAGTACTTGGGTAAGTAAGGTACATGGCAGCATGATATCTAAGGATACATGTATGATGCATACCAGCAGCTAAGTGGGACAGATAGCCGGAGAGAAAGAGGAACTCGGAAAAGGAGGAGGAAGCTTCTCTCCCGTTCATTATCCTTCTTTTCTTTTGGTGACTCGACTTGATTCGACTCGACTGGTCGTATGATACAATGCATGATTATTGGTGCGCTGTTGTCATCCCCATCATGGAGATTCTTGCGGCGATGCTGCTGCACTCCCAGCTTTACCCGCTGAAATCAAATCGTTTCCTTTCCGGTGGCTCCTGTGTCTATGCCTCGCTTACAAAGAGGCCTAGTTTTCCCCTACCACAGCCGTAGCTCGCTATATCATTTGGACACACAGTAGAGATATGGTAGGTGAAGGGTGCCCTCTTCGAAAGGTGGGTCGGTAGCCTGGCTCCCGCACGAGGCGATACTGAATGCAAAGTGCGCAACTTGTGATATGAGAAATATCTAGCCAAGCGCTCCCCGAATGCCGAGAAAGCAAGCACATTTATCGATTACCGTGCGTGGAGTACCAGTCCCGCAAAAACCCCCTAATCCACTATCAGCTTATCAGCAGAAATCAGCCCGTCAGCCCACGGTAGTTCTACAGTAATTCGATAGGTCAAGAGAATTGCGAACGCTGGTTGATGAGATCCAACACACCTAATGAGTCGACATTGGACCGTGTCGGGGGGGGACACTAATCCCTCTCAGGAGCTGCTGTCTCAGAACCCCGAGATTACAGAACCGAAGCAGATGGTGGATTATAATCCTCATGGTACTCTCCCAACCATAAAGCAAATTTCTTCTTTAGGTGAGAGAGCTTCATTTTATCCGTGTCACGTGTTCATGCGATTTTAGCCCTGACCCTGAGCTAAGTAAGCTGGCGCGATACCGAGGATAGAGTGTTCGCAATGGTTCCATCAGCCTCAGTCCCGGACCCCATCCATCCTTCTTCACCCACAGCCACATCTTGGTGCCTTCCAACGCAACCGCCACAAAAATTTTCTGCTAAAGTAAACCCATAAGTTACATTGGAAAATCCTACCCTCAAGCTCTCATCACCTTACCTAACGCCAAAACCAAGCCTAACATCTCCATTTCTCCCTCCCCGGCCACCCATCCGACCGACCATGGCCACAGCGACAACTACGGCGGCAGCATCCCCGGACGCTTCGCTCGCCGAGAAGATCCTCAATCCCCAGTCCCAGCAGTTTGGAAACCGATTCGCATTTCACGAGTTTCTGAGGAAGGAGTATAGGTTTGGTCTGGATCCTAATCGGAGGACTTGTCCGCTGTTTGTGCAGGGACATTGTCCCATGGGGAACAGCTGTCCGGATAAACATGCGGTTTCAAGCTCCTTTAACAAGTAATGCTTTTTAGTCTTTCCAAGGTTTTTTGTTTTTTTTCCACGCTGGGCTTGGGGGCGGTTGACGGAGGAGGAGGAAGGAAGGAAGTGGGAAAGGGAAAGGGAAAGGAAATTTGCTAACGATGGTGGTAATGGAGTAGTTTAGTTTGCAAGCATTGGTTGAGGTCGCTATGCAAGAAAGGGGAGGCATGTGAGTTTCTTCATGAGTACAATTTGCAAGTCCACTCCCTTCTCTTCGCCCCATTTCATTTTATGGTCATCCTTCGACTTTCTTTCCTTTTTGATTGCTCCCCCCCGTAAACGAAGGCTAACGGTAGTGCAATAATGTGTGTCTTCCACTTTGATTCGTCCAAACAGACGCAAAATGCCCGAATGCAATTTCTTCGTGCGAAATGGCTACTGCAGCAACGGAGAGGAATGTCTATACTTACACGTAGACCCCGACAGTAAAATCCCTCCATGCCCACACTTCGAGAACGGCTTCTGTCCACTAGGCCCCACGTGCTCCAAAAAACACGTCAGGAAGCAGATCTGCAAGTTTTATCTGGCTGGCTTCTGTCCGGACGGCAGAAGCAATTGCAAAGAGGGGACTCATCCAAAGTGGAAGACGGGGTTGCCGGCGCCAACGGTAAAGAAGCCAAGAGAGGAGGTGGAGAAGGAACGTGATGGGGATAGAGAAGGCGGGGGTGAGGGGTTCCGGGGGAGGGGAAGTTTCGAAAGGAGAAGGTTTTATGGAGGGAGGGGAAGAAGGGATAGGGATAGGTAGATTTCAACAAGCCTTTTTACAATCGTTGCTCATGATGGAGCCAAATCTTGTTTTTGAAAGTTTTATTTGTTCTTAAACCCGTTTTCTGTGCGGGGAAGCCTTAATGATGGTTGTGGTGGTTTTGTTTTGATTCGGCATTAACATGTCTTTGTTTTTTGTTTTTTCTCTCCTCTCCTCTTCTTTTCTTTTCTTCCGCTTCCTCCTCTTTTCTATTCCCCTTTATACTATGTTTTCCTTCCTTTATTTTTTTATTTTTCCATCATTCTTCTTTTTCCTTTTGCTTTCTTTTCGTCTCATATCGGCGAATAGGGAATTTCCACCTGCATTAGACTGCTGACAGCTACTGTGGAAAATATTCGAGTATGAATTCATGGGTTATTCTGCAACTTCAATTGGACAATTTCGCTCGTGACTGCAAATGGGCTGCCTTCCCACAACCGGGGTAAGCTTAAGGCATGTAAGGAGGGTTTGACAACGCTGATTGTCGGGTATGATAGAAAAGTGTGCGGCCAGAAATGAATGATTCTCGTGTCAGCACAAATACGTGAGAGCAAGACCATCTGACATCATAGCCCCATTTCATTACTCGTAGACACTACTCACGCGAGTAGTCTGATGATGTTCCTGACATGGGTCTCGTGTTGAAGCAGTGTAGTTTAAAACTCGAGGGTGTCTAACATGGCATGAAAGGTGAGAAAAAAACTCACCACATCCAGCTCCCAGTATCTCCCAATTGACTATTTTCAAAAAAACTCGAGTGAGTTTCCATGAAGTACCCATTTAAATCTCGACGCCGGTAGTAGATATCCAACTTCTCTCACAGAACAAAGGGTATCGGTGCCTTGATGGATCTATGAATTCCCTGAGAATCAAGAGATGAGAGCTAAGTCTGGGTACTGATCCCCTTTATCGAGAGTATCTAATCTACTTCGTATGCAATGAGCATCCTACAGGACAGATCGTGCATGGAATATGTAGGTCGAAATCGGTTCAGGGTTAGGGTAGACCGAGTCGATTACTGGAGTTTCTCTCTCTTCTCCCTCAACCGGAGCCAGGAAATCCATTCGGTGCCCCTTTCACTTGCTTGTCCCCCTTTTCCATATCCCTCCCTTTTTTGTTTCTCTCCCTCTAATCTTTTCTTTTCTTCTTCCTATCTCTTCGGCAAAATATAATACTTTGTATTCGACGACATCAACGACGACCCCTTGCAGCTCAGCCATTGATCAGAATCTTCCGGGAATCCATGTGTTGGGTCGCTAGTTCTATTAATCGGGCTCGGGTGGGTGGCGGTAGGAGGAGGATGAAGTGAAGCCCTAATATTATCAAGGTATCATAGGATGGATGGATGGAGGGGGGGGGAGGGTGCGAGCTCTGCAGGAGGTAGGCAGGCACTGGGCAGAGAGGAGGAGGGGGGAAAGGACGTTTATGGTGAAATCAAAGGTTGGTGGTTTAGAGGGAGGGTGTCAAAATATTCAGCTTGGCAGGAAGGGAGGAAGGTTGATTAGGAGGTACTGTATGTCGTTTGCGTCTCGCTCGAGTTCCCCAAAAGCAAAAAGGCCTTCGATATCACGGAAGTCATCACCCTTCTTCCTCACTTGATCTAACTCACTGCTATCGTTCTATGATATGATATGATATTACAACCCTCGCGGAGGAAAGAGTAACTTAGTAATTGGCCCCCTTCCTCTATTATTTATCTTTTCAGATGGATCACTGAATCTGGGGGACTTTGACTTGGAATAGGATAGCTCTTTTTTTTATTTCCTTTTCTCCCTTTCCTTCCTTTTCTTTTCCGAAACCCACGATACCATACCATATCACACAACACAGTACCAATCCCCCCCAAAAAAGAAGAGCCCTAGTGCCCCTAGCAACGACAACACCACCAAACTGGGAGAGATAATAATAAACTCTCGACAACCCCACCCCATCCCCACCAAAGCTATCAACCCCGCCATGCCAATACTCAACCTCCCGAACGAGCTTCTTCTCGTAATCGCAGACGAATTCCTAGACCCGAGAGACCTCAACGCCTTAATTCTGACAAACCGCCGCTTCGCCCGCCTTCTAACACCAATAATTCACACTCTCGCCGCAGCTGACAAGGACGGCATACCAGCGCTCTGTTGGGCGGCACGACAAGGCCATGGGCCGCTCGTCAGATTGTTGCTTCATAAAGGCGCACAGGTAAACGCTCAAGACACAAATTCCGGATTGGAGAGAGTGAATCGGCAAACCGCGCTCCACCATGCCGCCAATAGTGGTCATGAAGATATCGTTAGGGTGTTACTGGAAGGAGGGGCGACGGTAAATGTTCGAAACAATTACCTAGAAACTCCGTTGCACAGGGCTGTCGCAGGTGGAAGTGAGGGCGTGGTGCGCTTGTTGCTAGAAAATGGGGCGAGAATTAACGCCTGCACGAGCTACCTACAAACACCGTTGTTCAATGCCCTCGAAGGTGGCCGAGAAGCTCTAGCCCTGCTATTGCTTCGCAGAGGCGCAGACGTTACTATACGGGACTCTGCCAGGGAGACGGTCCTCTTACCCGCCGTCCGCGAGGGCTACGACACCATTGTAAAACTCCTGTTGGAGAAAGGCGTGGACGTCAACGCTCCGAATACCGACGGTGACAGGGCGCTTCACGAGGCGGCCCGGGAGGGCTTCGCCAACATCGCTAGGTTACTTTTGGACAATGGGGCAGAGACCGATGCCGAAAACAGTGACGGCCAGACGGCGCTGCACCTGGCGATCTCGGTCGGGGGCGAAAGGTATGGGGATTTTATCACATTGCTTTTGGACAAGGGAGCCAATGTCAATGCCACAGACCAGTACAGCGAGACGCCGCTGCATTACGCTGCCCGGCACCAGTCCGATGTGATATCCCAAGTCCTCATTGACGCCGGTGCCTCCATCAATGCCCAAAATCATTACCACGGCGATACACCGCTTAATCTCGCCGTCCAGTGCGGGTCCAAGGATGTCATTGCTCTTCTCTTACGGAACGGCGCCGACGTTAATATTCCGAACCGAGAGGGTCACACCTCTCTTGAATTAGCTGCGAAAAGACACCAATCCCTAGTGCAGCTCTTCGCTGAATTTACTGTTTCCTCGTAAACCTCTTCTTTATCTTTCGTCTTCACCCTCCCCCCGGTTTATCATATATTTTATCCTAACCAACCCAACTCGCCCACTTTACTCCTTAGTGTTTGATGCCTCCCCCTTTCAGAGTGCAGAGATTATGTATACTCTTATCTTTGACTTCCAACTTAACTTCAGACTTCTTCTTGAGACGTTCGATGAATCACCATGCCCCCCCTACATCCGCCTTGCTTCCTTCATCCTGAAGGCATTCGTTTCTTTTATATTGATTAAGCTATTACCATACTTTATTGGTTTTCGCGTGTTGCTGCTTCCTTTTTTCTTCTCCTCTCCTCTCGATTCTCTTCTTTCTTCCTCCTTCCGTTTTTTCCCTGAGGGGAGTGGAAGTATATTTTTGTGATCTGTGCTGCGTGCACGAGTGTCCTTGTGCGCGTGATTCACTTTTTTCTGCTTCTTTTTAACGTTTTTCATAGATTGGTGATATCAGATGATGCGAGGTGAGAATTGGGGTGATGAGAATGAGAGGCTATGATGAGATGAGATGAGATTGGATGAGCCGTGATTTGGGGGTTTTTTTTTTCCTTTTGAAAAGAACAGCGTATTATAGGTCAACTTGAGGTTGGTCTTTTGCCTGTAGGGCTGTGGTGCTGTTTTAGCTTGTCTGGCAGGAAGAGGTATGAGCAATTGCTCATTTCATTGGTCAGCTTGGTCTCAGCGTAGAGAGGGAAAAAAAGGAAAAACCGAGGAGACGGAAATATAAAAAAGAATGGCCGTGGGCTTGTTTTTCAAAATTTCTCCGCTCTCAGTGCAGTAGGGGTGGGTTCTTGGAAGCGTCGTGACGATATATACCGGTCAAGATAGTACAATTCTGTGCCTTGCTGAAGAGACGCCTGAATGAAAGGTATGCACGCATGCATGCTCCGCCTGAGCGTTCCCGTGCGAAAGGAGAGGGGGCGGGGAAGCCGGAAGGCGTATACAGCACATCAGAGCATATGTTGTGCTGGCATCATAAGTTATGGGTAGTAGGCTATGATCACCCCCCCCTTTTTTTTGGGGGGGGGAGGGGAGGTTTATATGAAGTGTAAACCTCCGTCCTCCATAAGGTAGGCTACAGTGAGTGTTGCCATAAAGTTACGAGGAATACCGTCGAGGCCAAGTCACTTTGGATGGAAGAGTGAGTGAGTGAAGTGGTTTGTGAGTTCAAGGTGGAGACAGCCGTGCCTGCATCATTCCGGGATTCCCTCCCGGCCTACAATACCTGTGGCGGCCAACATTAGGTTAATAAAAAATAGCTGGGAGGGGGACTCAAATATTCTGAGCGGGTGGATTTGGTTATCCTTCTATCGTATCCCTGTTTTCACACCAGTTCTTAGGTGCTACTAAAGTACAGTATTCCATCTTCGAGCTGGGAGCAAAACGTTCGCAGCAGGTGATGGTGGGCGGTGGTAAACTCACCCACTGGACACCAGACACCTATAATATGCGTATCAGTATTAAGATAAATTAATATGCGAAAGTATCATTGACAGCACTTTTCGTTCGTTCCCCCGCCCCCCACTCGCTCACTCAGTGATTAACCTAACCAACTTGCCCCACCACAGCACAGATCCAAACCCCACATTTTCGCCCCTTCCCCAAACGCCCACCCGATCTAGCCGAGGTCGCGCAATCCTTTTTTTTTACCTTACCCTACCATTAGCACAGTACCGTATCATAACTTCATGAATAGCAAGACAAGTTAGATCGTAGCTCGCGCTTGGAGCCTCAAACAACAAACTTTGCACTCCTTCCTTCATTCATTCCTTCATTCCCGCTTATTTCCCTGCCAAGGTCACCCACCAATGAAACCATGCATCTCCACCGCTTAAGCCTCTTCCCCGGACCCCGAAGTCTACGTCTACGTTTACGGGGTTACTCTACGAGTTTGTCTGAAGCTGTCGACCAGTCAAAGTCGAAGCTACCTTTGAAAGGATTGAGAGTCTTGGATTTGACGAGGGTACTTGCTGGAGTAAGGCCTTCTCTTTTCTTTTCTCTTTACTCACGGTCTTAGAGGTGTGAGCTATCTGGTTGATTGTCGAGTAGCCGTATTGTACGCAGATATTAGGAGATCTTGGGTTCTTTCCTCATTTTTCTTCTTCCTCTTTCGGCGGGCGGGGTTGATAATGGATGCTGTGGTGGTGGGGGTAGGGCGGAAGTCATTAAGGTTGAACACCCAACACGTGGGGATGATACTAGGGCGTGGGGACCACCGTATGCACCTTCGAAAGATGGGGGGAAGGGTGAGAGTGCTTACTTTTTGGCTGTGAGTGCCTCTTTTATATCTATAGTTCCTGGGGAAGTCAATATCTTGTTGATTATCAATTTACTTAGGTTAATCGGAACAAAAAATCCCTAGGACTCTCCTTCAAGCATCCATCCGGCCAATATATTCTCCAGCACCTAGCCAAAGCCTCTGATATCCTCGTGGAGAACTACCTGCCCGGGACCCTCAAGAAATACGCACTGGACTACCCGACCCTGCACGAAATGGCCCCTCACCTAATCTACGCGAGCCTAACAGGCTACGGCCAGACGGGGCCGTACAAGGACCGCACGGGCTACGATGTGATGGTAGAAGCAGAAATGGGGCTCATGCATATCACTGGGGAGCCTGAAAGGCCGCCGGTGAAGGTCGGGGTTGCGGTCACGGACTTGACCACTGGGCTGTACTGCTCCAATTCAATCCTCGCAGCAGTGATTGCCAGAGCCGGGAATGGTGGAGTGGGACAGTGGATTGATGTTGCGTTGAGTGATTGCCAGGTTGCTACTTTGGCGAATATTGCTAGTTCCGCTTTGATATCTGGGAAGGGGGATGAGGGCAGGTTCGGGACGGCGCATCGTAAGTTCCTCTACAATTTTTGTTTGATACTCTCCTCTGAAGGGGAAAATGGAGAGAAGGAGAAGGAGGATGGTTGAGGAGTGTGGGTGTTAGCTTCTATCGTGCCTTACGAGTCTTTCCCTACCGCTGATGGGAATATTTTATTGGGTGGTGGGAATGATAGACTTTATGCTATACTCTGTCAGAAGATTGGGAAACCAGAGTGGATAACTGATCCGCGGTTTGCGACCAACGAGGAACGTGTCAAGAATAGGAAGATTCTGGTCCCTATGATGGTGGAAATAACTAGGTCTAAGACTACCCAGGTAACTTCCTCCCCCCCCCCCATCCTGCTCCTTCACACTGCACATTACCTCCACCTCACCTGTGTCCCCAGTTACCGGTTGTAAAGTATTCTTTGTTGTTTTTTCTCCCTTTTTTCTAAAGTATGGGTGTGTGCGTGTATTCTTTCGTTACCACAGGAATGGTTGGAGATATTTGACTCCAGCGGAATTCCGTACGCCGCTGTCAACGACATTCAAGCCACGTTATCCCACTCCCACGTTATCGCCAGAGACATGGTCAAGACAGTGCACCACCCGACATGCGGCGACATTAAACTCGTAAACACCCCGGTGAAGTATTCTGATTCCACGCCGGGAATCAGGACACCACCCCCCACGCTGGGTCAGCACACGGACGAAGTGTTGATGGACCTTCTTGGATTAAGCAGTTATGCGGTGGAGGAACTTAGGAGAGACGGGGTTGTGGCTTAGTAAATGGTGGTGGTGTAGTGGTGGCCGAATGGTTTACTCGACTTACGGCACCTCGTGCTGCACTCGTACATCCTCTCTAACCAGTGCATGTGTGCATGATAGCATAACCTAGATGGGATGGGAGATACCAGTACTTAAGGTGCGCACCCGGATCGTCCTATTATGTTCTTGCAGATGTACAAGAACGGGTTTTCGAGGGGTTTTTTCTAAAAAATAAAAATAAAAAAGGCAAATCCAGCACCCATAGATATTAAACTACACATTTTTTCGAGCCTTTGTCCATTCATTTTCCCGTCGTGAAGCTCTAACCACGACCGATGGCGGACAAGAGATAGAGAGACAGAGAGAGGTTTGTTTAAAGTAAACCACGAAAACCAAGTGACGTGCAGAAGGAAAAGGAGTCTTGGCAAGACGCGTTTTGAAACTCTTACGGGGCTGAAGAGTTTACATGATCCAATTGTTACCCTCCATGATGTACCAGTATTACAGCAAACGTTAAGAGATTCCTATGTGTTTGACCCTTCTTTCCTTCCCAAACTTTCCTAAGCCCCCCGTGGGAAAAGGCAAAAAAAGAAGTTTCTGCACCTTCTCACCAGCCGGGTGGAACTGGATTGGAAAAGAAAAAAACGGAACCCAGATAGATATGCTGTTCCAGTGATATAAATACCGGTAAATAACTTGGGAATAAGGGGGGAGTATCTGAGAGAGCAAAACAAAAATAAGGAAGAAATTCCTGCACTGCTTTACTGCCTGCAAGAGAGAGCCTGCCGTACCTGCCTGCCTATCTGCTCGAGCGTCCAACTGCCTGCCCGTCTGCTGCTGCTGCTGCTGCTGCTGCTTTTGCCTGGGCAAAAGAGAAAGTGAAGGAGAGGGACAGTAAGTCTGGTGCTGTTGCCAAAAATAGGGTCCGGTGGCCTTTACACGGTCTGCATTGTCTGGGTCAACCTTCTGGCCCTTCCTTCCTCCTCCTCCCCCTTGTCTGACACTTGTGTTTTGCCTGACACTCTCTTTTCCCTTTTTATATATATATTTTCTTTTTTCTTTTCCTTTTTCCCTTTTATTTATTTATTTATTTATTATTTCCTGTGCCTTCATTCTGTTCCCACTGCTGAGTATATCTCTTCCCTTCTCTTAACATCTAACTTACCGTACTGCAGAAGAGGAGGAGAAAGAGCATACCCCTTCTCTCCTTCTCTGCCTTATCTGCGGAGAGACAGACACACGGACAGACTGGCAGAAAGAGAGATAGAGCTTTGGGTTCAGGGGTGATTCACACACTGTCGTTTCTTGTTGCTCCTTTGCATGATCTTTGTGGTTGTTCGCCAGGGTTTATAACTTACAACATAAGGAGGAGGAGCAGTAGTTAGCAAGCAAGCAACAGCGCGCGTCTTGCGTGCCCTCTGGACAAACTTCCCCCTGGTTCACACTTCCTTTGTTACTCTAGCTGTTCTCACCTTCCCTTCTTCCAAAACTTACACCCCCAACCCAACCCAACCCGCTGTACCCTCTCTCCCACACCCCCCCCCCTTGCCTACTTACTTGCCTACCCTTATTCTATCACTCCTTATTTATTTTTATTGTAACTGTCTTGTCTTGTCCCCAACCCTCGAACCTTTTTCCTCCGGGGTTATTGGCATTTCTGGAAGCGCGCGAGAGGCGGGAAGCGTTCGGGTGCCCCGTTGAACCCGTTTCTCCACGCCCTGGAATCACTCTTGCGGCTCCGGAGCTTATTTGCACCTCTCTCTCCCAGCAACTGACCTGGAAACGACAACTAGCAACACTCTTTTGTTATTACACGCTCCAACGCACCCCGAACCACACACCCCCCTACACACTATCACGCACCACCACTACCACCACCACTCACCCCCCCCAATATCATTTTTTTTATCTACACATCGGCATCGATCACATCAACACGCGCGACTGATCTAGATCTCCATTCTTTCCTTTTCCTTTTTCCATTATTTTTCTTCTTACGCTTAAATGTCCTCAACTCTTGACGCCGTACTGGCCAGCATTGACCAGGTCGAGGCACTAAGCCCAGATGACTTTTACCGGGTCATCGAGCATTGGAAGCGGCGAGCTGCGATCCTGTGGGCTGGTCCAGCTCTCCCGATGCGTGGACCGGCTCCCCCGATGCAGGTTAGCTCTTTTGCAGCTCTTGAGTGCTTTGTTCGTGCTTTTTTCATCCAATTGAGAGAGAAGAAAAAATCATTCTTCTCTTTCGTACCCTTTTTCTCCCCCCCCCCCTTCCCCGAATGAAGCTGTAAAACGTGACTAACCAAGGAACGACGGACGGAACGATGTCCTCGGAATTTCTGTAGGCAAATGCACCTCCTACTCCCGCGGCGGGGGATAACGAACCAGTTGCTGCAATGATGAACCCTTTGCATATCCCTCCAGGTCTGCCAGTCCCTATGATGCAGCAGCAGACCGCCAAGAAACGCCGGCAAAAGAGCACGGCTTCTGCGCGCAGTAGTAACGTTAACATTAACGGCGGAGGTTCAGACCCTTCTACTCCCTCGACCATCGGCCCGTCCACTTGGACCACCACCGCGAGAAAGAGACTCGACAGTAAGATGCTCTCCCTAAAGGACTCGACCGTTCCCCCGCCGAGTAATGCCACGCTCGCTCTTGCGATTGAGAAGTTAAGGTACTTCATCATCAGAGCGCTGCACCCGAATCTCCATAGTGTTGAAAAGGGAGGTGATAATTGTTTGGGCCTGTCTATGGGACCGCGTTTAAGTTTTAATTACGATGCGTATATTCATTGGATCGATTCTAGTCAGCAGGAAGGCGATGAGGCTACCAGGCGACTGGCTCAAGTGTGGTTCTTTTATAAGATGGCTGATATATTAACCATGTTCTGTGATGACGAGAAGAGACGCGGGGAGGGTGGTAATGAGCAGGGGAGGTTGCAGAGAGGCTATGATAAGCTGGTCAGTACCGACTGCATTGCATTTTTGAACCCGGCCTTTGTTCACTGCCATTCGCCGAGATGCAGCTTGCTGACTTTTTTTGGGGGGGTGGCCAGTTGCCGATTTGCAAACGTATACTTGATACGGATAACCGCCAGTACATTCGCAATTTGATTTGCTCCAGTCGCCGGTTCAGACAACTTTGCATTCACATGGTTGGCTCTGAACGCGCGGAGATATTTGTTTTTTTCAAGGGGGAGCTTACGCTCACTGAGTAAGCCACGCACCCCATCAAGCTATGCCTCTTGTCTACTTCTTTCCCCGCTGACATACTCCACAGCCTCAAGGATATGACCGCCTCCGCCGCAAAGATGGATGAGACCACCGCTATGCTCGACGTCGTTCTAGACGACTATTTGACCACCGTTAGCAATATTGAAGTTCCGATCGGCGGCGAGCTGACCGGAATTAAAATTGATATGTGGAACGGACTCTTGCAATTAGCCTAGGGAAGAGCAAGTGGGTATCGGTATCGCTCTTCACCAGAAAACCTAAAAACCTCTTTTTTTCCCGAAAAAAAAATCAATAGCCACCAAAACCATCTTAATTGTACTACTAAGTTTTCTTTTTTTCCTTTCAGTCTCTCTTAGTTGTCTGCTTTATTTAACTCATCCGTACTTTCCTTTGCTTTTGCTTAGAGGCGTTATGGATCCTTTCGTCTTGCTTGTTTGTTCGTCCTGTCTTTTCTTCCCTTTTTTCAAGTTCGAGTTTGCCCCGTCTGTCTGCCTACTTGTCACAGCTGGGATTAGCTGAGTCCTTGTTTGGCCTCTTTTTTTTTCTTTTTTCTCTTTCCTTTTTGTCTACTGCAGTATCTGAAAGTTATTAAGTGATGTGCGCACGGACCGACCGATGCAGAGCGAAACTAATTGATGGATGGTTGATGGGCGGGATTGAGTGGGTGAGTGGATGGATACAATACAATAGACAGTGTCGTATCATATCATAGGGGAGAGGAGAGGAGAGGAAAGAAGTGGGGGGAAATGTCTGTGTGAGCGGGTGAGTGAGTGAGTTTCTAGCTTGAGCTTTGTAGGACAGCATTCCTACTGGTATGACAGAGTGGATGGGGCATATTGTGGTACCATTAGTGACCCTTGTATCATACTCGTGCTAGTCATATACAACTATTTATGCGTACTTCACTTTTCACTTATTATTATTGTTGTTATTATGATACAAATAGTACAGTACCGTACTATACTATACTATGCCTCGCTTCTCCAGCTCGGCAGGGAACCCGATGCAATTATGGGCTGGACTGGATGCCTAACTTGATGTATATGTGCTGCGCTATCGTACCACGACAGGTATCCTGCGGCCACGGCGCTTGGCTACCTCTGTCCCCAGCCCGCCCCGTTGGCTCCTTGGTGGGGGGTGGAGGAAAGAAAGGGAGAAAGAGGGAAACAAGTATGATATATATAAGATTTATGCGCAAAGGGTTGGACCGGAAGGGGTTTAATTAGTACTCTGCACCGTATCTGGAGGTGTAGTCGGTGATGCATACTGCTATCTCAACCTTCGCTCTTGTACCGCCTCAGGACCGCGATGGAAGCATATCCATGTTATATGGCAGTTTACGCTACGGTACGGTGCTCCGCTGTGCCGTGCTTGTCAAAGCAAAGCCCGCCGATTCCCCCCAACATGATTCGTTCCAGTAGTACCAGTCCGTCACCCAGCGCACAGTACTACCGTTCCCGAGCACCGGCCGGCACGTAGCACATGTGCACAAGCGGCACAGTGCTGTACTGTACTGTATACTCGAGTACGGTACTGTATCGTACCATACCCAACCGGGGGAAACGCTTTGGACGTCAGAGCGAATGAATGAATGAATGAATGAATGAAAATTCGAGAAACAAAAGGTTCCTCGGAACTATAAATTAACCTCTGGTATCGATTTCGCTCACGTCTATCGTTCATTTGTCGGTCGGTAAAGTGGTGGAGGTTTGAAGGTTCGTGATTGCCCGTCACCCATTTGGGTATTGAGTGACGGGAAGTGGGGGTTTGTGCTGACTGTCTGCCGGCCGGCCCGCGGAAGGCGGGGGGTGGGGGGAGGGGTACGGGTACCCCTACCGGAGCGCATTCGCGACCTTCACTCCCTTTCCGGGAGGGAGTGTGGTAGACCATTGTAACGTGGATGGATGGATGGAGGAGCGGTGTTGTATTCCGCGCGGCGCGCTTCACGATAGTCGAGTTAGAGACCTCTACGAGTAGTGATATTATATAGACTACGGTACCCGCCCACTTGTAAGCAGCTAAGCAAGGTAATTTACAGTAAATTATCAGAACAATCGTCGGCATACCCACACATCTCTCCGCTGCAGCTATTATGAATACATAAATTGCAAAAGCTAGTCCAATCCGTGCTCAGTGTCACAACTTCGTTGAGTAATGTACGAGTACAGTACAGTGCTCGTATGTCATGCGCACGTGATCTCGCTGCCAGCCAATAAAGTCAATTACAGTTATTACCGTACAGGTAGTTGTGATATCTCGCCGTTCGTCGTTGTTGTTATGATACTGTGAATTTATCCCCCCGTCTAGGATACTGTAAGTATTATAGGTAAGAGTATGGTATCATACGGTGAGGGTAAAGTACTAGTACAAGTACAGCACATAATACTGTGTCTCTGTTCCTGGCTCGTATATAAATAGACTTTTTGCTATGGTTACAGTAACCTGTATCATGTCATACTTGAGCTTGGTTAAAATGTTTGGCGCGGGATGATGGGTCTGGGTGAGTGGTGGGTTGCCGTACTGTAGGGTGTGATGGGGTAAGCATCGCTTGCTGGCTTTGGTTGGCTTCTGGGAAGGGCTGGGTGGAGGGATAACTTTACGGTACGGTAGGAGTACTTCTACCTCCCCACGGCTTTGGGTTTCCCTTCCCTTCTTCTTTCTTCTTTACTTTATTGCACTACCATACATACCGGTACCCTACCTACTAGTTTTTGACAACGTGAAGATCTATCATACTCGATTATCGAAACAAAACATCATACAGTTGCTCACGGTAACTCGGCTCAACTCGACTCAGCTCTGGTTAACGGAGGAAGGAAGGAAGGAAGGAAGGAAGCTTTTGCTCCCGGTTGTTTCTCGGTCGACCACGATACCTTATCATAAGCTTCAGTTACAACATCTTCATCTCTCTACCACCGCCGCCGCCGCCGCCGCCACCTTAAAACAAAAACACAAAAACACCGCACATCTCCACATCCACCCACCTCCATCAACCAAGCAGACAATGTCAACCCCCCCCTCAATCTCCCTGACCCCCGCAATCACCACCACCGCTACTACCACCCCCCCACCTCCGCTCCCAGACGACACAGACTCAGACCTGGCAACACCCCCATCCACACCCCCTCCTCCCCCTTTATCCTCCGCCTCCACTTCCTCCTCCTCCACCGCCACCACCGCATCATCGCCAAATCCCGTCTTTGCCCCTCGCCCTCTCCGCCTTCCGCAATTCCGACACCCACGTCCGCTCCTCCTCCTGGACCAGTTCCCGCTCCCGCTCCCGCGAACCCCTAGTCCGCTCACTCCCCCCGCGCCACCAGCATGCATCCCATCGTCATCGTCCTCGTCGCCGAAGCTGGCGCGTAGCTTCCTGGCTTCTTCCCCTTCGCCCCCGGCTGTTGGAGGAGGGGGGGAGTTGGGGAGGGATGTGCTGGAGGAGTTGTTTAAGATTATTAGGAGCGTACCTGGAAGTCCGCCCGCCGGGGCCGGGCCCGGGGCTGTGGGGTTGCAGGTCCATCGGAGGCAGGGAAGTGCAGGAGGAAGGGGAAGTCCGGCGGCAGCGGCGGGAGGGAGGGAATGTGGGTTTCGTAAGTTTACCTATATGACCTTTCAACTGATTTGAGTGTGTTGGATTGAGGCTGATGAAATCAAATGGAATGGGTTTACAGCGTCCTCCCCCGTCTCGAGAACTACCATGCGCAATCCGATTATTTTTAATTCTCAGTTTGATGGGGAGTCAACTTGATCGCTTGCCCCGATGGTCAACGTATTTGGGGGTAGCTAGCCAGCTATTCAAGACGGGATAGTTATTCAGGGGTGTCTTTTCCTTTCTTTCATACATATCATTCACGGAGCTGATTTTTCCCCCCTTCTCGTACAACTTTTCACCTTTGTCTATGCGTGTTGGTGGTTTGGAGTTCTTTGCTTTCTTTCTGCTTGACTACACTTTACCTGCCTAACTACCTACCTCCTCAATCTTTTGGCATTGTTGCTTTTGTTTGCTACAGTAGTAGAGATGGATGGACGGGCGAATGGCTATCTTGTTTTTTAATTTTCTCGCTTCTTATTCTCGCTTCATTCGTTCCCCCCTGCATTCGCGTGGATACCCCCCCCCTCTCTATCAATCATTTCATATCACCGCGAGTGAGTATGTTTGTTTGTTTGTTGGAATGTAGAGAAAATCTATTGCCCCCCCCTGCTATAATATACATAAATATACGGTTGTCATGGGGTGTCGCTCTGGGGCTGGAATTATGTGGTTGGGTGTTGGATAATACGAATCAATTCGACTTATCATACTTAAGCTTGGCCCTACAACTGGTGGCTATTTGGGCGTGAGGTGCGAAATGCGAGGTGCAGGTGTGCTAAAGGGGAGAAGGGATACATTATCGATACTAGTGTGATAGAGATCGAGAGGGCAAGCTCGGCTTGAAGTCAACTACTACAGGTTAGGTTGCGAGTAGGCAATTGCCCAGTGGGACATTCATGAGAGTTCAATAAGGCGGGGGTTCAGGTATAATGTGATAGGCCCATCCTTTGTCCGAGCCATTGGGTCTTAATGGGCACTTTTCTTGTAACAGGGGATTTGGCTTTGACCGCCCCAATGTCTCGAACTCTCGATATGGGTGAGGGGGCACTGCATCCTTGCCTGTATTTACTCCCTTTGCTTGTTGAAAGCCCATTGAAACCTGCTGTCTGAAGAATATCCGCGTGTCGCCCCTGGTACCGCGGCCCCCTCACCGAAACGCGGACCGGTGGGATAGCAGCAATGGCCTAAATCGGGTTCCTATGAGACCCCACAGAGCGAAAGTTTGCGTCAGAGTGGTCCTGTAGGTATATTATCAATTGTAGCGTATCTGCTCTAGTTCGCCCTGTAGTTTTCTTATTGTTCAAACCACGGGTTTCCGCTAAGCTTGGACGCAGCTTCTTACGCCATCTATTGGACCTGGAGGGAGGCTCGTGGAGAGTATTTGGGGCTGTAGAGGGCCAAGGACTGGCAGGTATCCCCCTCGCTCGGGTGAAGCTGATGCAAGTTCGTAACGATGAACTCACCACCTCGACCCCAATTGGAACAGGCAGTCGCTTGGGAATTTGGCTTTAGCAATTCTCTAGACAAAATGCAGGATGTTTCATTTTAAGGCTGTCAGCGGCAGCCTCGGTGAGTTGACGGTGGTAACACTCGATGTCAACGACTCCCGATCATCACTCCGCTGTTTTTTGAGACCAGTCACCAGTGGATAACCCGCAATTGCATCATGGCATTTTGGCCGCTGGCATCTGGCTATAATACCCCAGCTAACAGGGGTATTTATCCTCTTGCGATATGCACGGGATGCCGACGTATGGTGTGTCAAGCCCCAAAAAACTGAGGACTGCGAGAGAACCCTGAGTGTCGTATCACCAAGCCGGCGAACGGGCTAGAGGATGGCGGTTGGATTTAGAACCGCAAAGGGCCCTTATCTTATACACAAAACGTTAGCCTCGTTCAATTAACCCTAATGCCGTGCGCTCAAACACCGGTGTTTGCCTTTAGGAAATGAGGGGATCAGACGGTACAGCGGCTGCCCTTGAAAGAGTAAACCGCCGATTTGTTTCATGGCTGGTGTTTGTGAGCACAGGGCAAGCGACACGAAGACCTTGCCCTTTCCTGGCCCCAGCTTCATCATCATGGAAAAATATTAAAGGGGGAGTGCAGCGAGGTGTCGGACAAGAAAACATTTCGAACCTACTTGAAAGCCCTATACCAGGGCAGGGCCAGACGCGCCAATAGATCCCGCTCGATTGCCATCATATAATATCTCGTCGGTTTTTATTACAACTGGATTGCCCGGTCGAGAAGGTAGATGTTGTACCGGTAAACCTGTTGCCTTCCGATGCGTTTTTGTTTGCAGATTGAGGGGAACTTTGTTGAGATCGCAGAGGTGCGTGATGTATGTATGTTATAGTCTGGGGTTTCGATAAATATTGGGTTCCCAGCTGGCGGTGGCGGGCTTGGGGGCCTGGCTGGCAGCTGGTGGTTGGATGGAAGTTGGATTGGGTTGGTGGGGGATCAGGAACGCTGCCCCTTTCAATCTTGGCAAGGGTGCAGCTGTGGAGATGAATTCATGTGGCAGGCTGGACAGTACCATAGTTTAAAACCGCCTTACCATGGTCTACCATCATACTTGGCGGGGTAATTTTGATATGATAGTTAATATACCGGCAGTTTAAGGTCCAATTTAGTGCCATGAGAACCATATGGTGAACCGCTCACTAATACTGTTAATATTATTACAGTGGAAAGTTGTATACTGGTCATAGCACATTTGGTTTCATTTCTTGGCTTCCATTGCAAGTTTACTCGAGTACCGTACTCGTACAGTACAGTACCGGCATCAGCTCTCACTTCCTATGATGCCTACCTCAGAGTTATGGGCGGATGCCAGACTGCATCTGCATTGCGGAACTTTGTACCAACACTTCTCGATCCGCGTCCCTGTTACAGATTATTGACAGATAAGGCAATCCAATAGACAGCCGGTCAAAGTCTCCTTGTGTGCTGTAACTCCACCACTCGAGTAGTTGCTGTTCAGTTGTTGCCTGACCATCGATGCAGTAGGGATGGACGGAGCTAAATCCCTTTCTATTCTAGCCCTGTGAGGCTTCCCCGCCCTCTGTCTTGTCCCTTTCTTGTTCCTTTGCTCCGTTCACATTTTTCCTTCAACACCCTCTTCTTCGCCCCACCTCACCTCACCTCACCTCACCTCAGCCTTATCCACATATCAGCTTCCTCACCGGCACTCACCACTGCTGCAAAAGAGAGACCTGAAAAATAAAGGATAGATAAATAGATAGATACTCTCCTACGGTATCTGTAAGGAAAAGCCCTGAGCTTCCCCTCAATTGTTGTTATTATCGCCGTTATTATTGTTAACTCTGATCAATTCCTCATCTCTGCTCTCACCCCTTTATTTAAACCGCTCTTGCTCCGGAAGCTTGCTTATCCCAGATCATTTCAGATCATTACAACCCCAAACCACATTGCAAGATGGCGTCTTCTATTATCGAAGCTTCACAAAAGCACCCTAGACCCGGAGATAGAACATTTGCCTATGGAACTGCCGGGGTGAGCCCTGTCTGCTACTTGTGGAGCTTTTCGGGAGCAATTGCTTACAGTACTTGTTACACCTTCCTTATGTAGTTCCGAATGAAAGCGTGTGTCTTTTCCCGAATCTTGTGGTGTCTTATCCGTTCTCAGCTGCTAAACGGTGATGGGAGTATAGGAATTTGCTTGATTCTGTTGTTTTCCGTGTTGGCCTTCTCGCTGCCCTCCGTTCGCAAAAGCTGAATGGAAAGACCATTGGCGTCATGATCACAGCCTCTCACAATGTTCCCGAAGACAATGGAGTAAAACTTGTCGATCCTATGGTGGGTCACGGTTACCTGGTATCTGGTTTATTGCACAGCTAATATGCATCTCATCAGGGTGAAATGCTCGAAGCCTCATGGGAAGCCCACGCCACAAGTCTAGCAAATGCTCAGAATGACCATGAGCTCATAGCTCGTTATGAGCATCTGATCTCTTCCCTAAAGATCAATGCATCCACCCCAGCTCACGTTATTCTCGCCAAAGATACTCGCGAATCTGGACCTGCTCTTGTTACTGCCTTGACCGATGCCCTCACTTCTGTTGGTGCCAAATACGATGATTATGGGATCCTAACAACACCCCAATTACATTATCTTGTCCGTTGTCTGAATACCCAACACCCCCCGCATAGTGAACCCTACGGAGTGCCAACAGAAGAGGGATACTACAAGAAGATTGGAGGTGCCTATGCAAAGTTGCTGCAAGGCAAACCCAGACCTGGGCCAATTACCGTTGACTGTGCAAATGGGGTTGGTGCGCCAAAACTCAGGGCGCTTGCCGAGTACATTGGGAAGGATACCGGTATCCTCGATGTCAAGATTGTCAATGATCTTGTTGACCAGCCCTCAAAGCTCAATTACCAAGTTAGTCTACCCAATCACTTATTGGCTGGTTGTAGTAGTAAACGTACTTACACTCAGTTAGTGTGGTGCTGACTTCGTAAAAACCCAACAACGACCTCCACCTGCCTCTCAGGCCTCTCCGCTGGCTCGGTGTGCATCCCTTGACGGTGATGCTGACAGGCTAGTATACTACTTCTCCGATTCAGACGGCACCTTCCGTCTGCTCGACGGAGACAAAATTGCTACTCTGGTGGCTTCGTTTATCACCGACCTTGTAAAATCAGCAGGTATTTCGGACCTCAAGGTTGGGGTTGTTCAGACTGCGTACGCCAACGGCTCCTCAACGGCATACATCACCAAGACTCTCGGTTTGCCGGTCATTTGCACACCTACTGGTGTCAAGCATCTTCATCATGCAGCCACTAAGTTTGACTGCGGTGTTTATTTCGAGGCTAACGGACATGGGACTGTGGTCTTCTCCCACGCAGCCCACACAACCATTGCTTCACATTCACCAGAATCCCCTGCCCAAGCCAGTGCCTTGGAGAACCTCTGTGCCCTCATAAATTTGATTAATGAGGCTGTGGGAGATGCCTTGTCTGACCTTCTCCTCGTAGAGGTTATTCTGGTGCACAAGGGCTGGGGTCCAAAGGAATGGGACTCCACGTATACCGACCTACCAAATCGCTTAGTCCGTGTTGAGGTGAAGGATAGAACTGCCTTCAAGACAACCGACGCCGAGCGAAAGCTTGTGGAACCCGTGGGTGTGCAAGAGAAGGTTGATTCTCTTGTTGGGAAGTACAAGCAGGGAAGGGCCTTCGCTAGAGCCTCGGGGACCGAGGATGCCGTAAGGGTATATTCTGAAGCGGCGGAAAGGGGGGAGGCAGAGGAACTTGCCAGGCTGGTCGCTGACGTTGTGGTACAGTTCTAAAGGGAACATGGGCGGGTGGACATAAAAGCGCAGGCGATACATTAAAAAGGGGTTTTCTTTGTTATTCCAAGGGGGGGGGGGTTGATGTTGACGATGCTCCTTTTCCGCCACTATGTTTCACGATTCCTGTTGTTTTTAGTCATTACCACAAACATAATGACATTTGGGGAAGAAATAAGCTGGAGTAAAATCTGCTTTCCTTGATGGATATCGTGCCACTGCGCCCGATTACGGGTTGGTATCTCGGTGCCGGTACAGCACCGGTATAGTACTCGAGGGACCCCGGAATACAGTGCGGGTATATGTCACACCAAGCGCGATCTTGTGGCTTGACTTGTACTCGTATGATATGATATATCAAACGCCCCGAGAGAAGAAAACAAGTTGCAACACCACACGGTATCCCACCGTCCTTAATAATTCACTATTTAAGTTACCAAAAACTGTTAAACACCATACCGGCACCGTACGACTCACCAGGCCTCTGGACTACTGGTACCGTATCTATCCATCCACCCATCGAACCCCGGCCGCCTCCACAATAAAGTGAGGGCACCCCAAACAAATTCATCCCTCGGCCCTCGGCCTAGATTAATTGATACCATATGATACCATCCGTCATCTACAGTATTAGTTACGATAGCAGTAGGGAAAGCTCCCAAGTCCAACGGAACAAGCCGGCGGCTCAAAAACAAGCTTTTCTTTCGTGATCTCCCGTTCAAGAACTTGTGTAACCGCACTTTTGCCCTCGGTGAGGAAAAAAAGGTTTATTATTATCTTATCTGATCCGATTTGCCCCGGTTACTTGTACAGTACTAGTACTTTGTTGTGTATGGTGGGTCGGGTGAATGTTCGTACGCTGTGCAGATACATAGACTACGGTACTCGAGTACCGTAGTCTACGAGTCTCATAGGTACCGCACTGGATGGGGTATATATTCCGGTACTCGAGTACTGGTATGATACGGTAGCTCTACTGCGCAATACGAATAGTGAAATGGACGAGGTTTTTTTCTTCTCCCTTTTTCTCCCTTTTTTTCTTTTTCTTTTTGTGGGGGTGGGCAGGGCATTATTGTATGAGGTTTCGTGATGCCGACTTACGGCATTGTCACAGCTATCTACCGTACCTGTACATTAGATTACTGTACTCGAGTACCGGTACTCGAAATGCGTAAAGAGGGAGAAAGAGACCACAGCGCCGTGTGAGAGCAGTGCACTGAATGTATTTGTAATCCCTCATCTAATTCTTACGCCTTGCTCGCTTGCTCAGTCGGACAGCACCGTACAGTACGATGCGATGTGCTCTTTGGGGGTACAGTATGCCACCCACCCACCTCTGTCATACCCCCCCCCCAACAAAAAAAAAAAAAAAAAGAAGGCATAAAATAACCTTTACGATATCCACGCAACGAGTGCAAAAAAAAGAATGAAAAATGGAAAAGTAGGTATTAAGTAATGACGTTATCTACAGCGGAATAGGGTATCCGTGAAATGAGTACGGTACCAGAACGAGTGGTTATGCACGCATGCAGTGTAATCCTGGCCTTTTTTCCCTTTGATCGTTCGCCACGCATTTCCCGAAGGGTAGATATAGACCACCGGTATGAGACAAAAAGACAAATACTGTAACCGAAAGAAAGGGAAGAGAAAAAAAACTCCTGCCGTCCTGACCGGCTGATCGGTTGATGGTATCTTTGATATCCTTTGGTTTCCATATTAATAGGCTATTGTAGTCGAGGGTATTCTAAAAAATGCCTGGGGGCAAAATAAAAAGCATGTGCAAAGTATGTACGAGAATTAATGACGATAATGATGACGGGTATGAAAGAGAGAGTTTTTTAAGCTTTCAATCTTTGCGGTGGAACGACAGATCCGACGTCTTTCCTTGAATCCACTACCAGGAATCTGACAGATGGCAAGTTTTTCGTCAGCAAGGGCGTATGTGGACGTGGCAACAGAGGAGATAGTCAAGGGATGAAAGAGGGAAAAGAGTAAGAGAAAGAAGGAGGTAGAGTGAGTGTTGCTACGTACTTGTACCACCACATACCAGGCAGGATCGTGGCGGCATGCCAGAGGCTGTGGGCGTCTAGAGCGCCAGCGAGGGGCGGAAAATCGAGCAGTTCCAGGCTCATAGCCATAATCAACCACATAACAATCAAACCAGGCCAAGCGGCCCAAAAGCTCTTTAGCCTCGTGTAGTGCCGAATAGACCAGTAGGTCCATAGGGTATTCGTGATTGATCCCACAACGACGTTGGCAGCCATGTTGTAGGTGTAGTCCCACCGGATGCCCAGGAGGAAGTAGGCGTGAGCAGTGTAAGAAGCGATGCACACAATCCCCCAGATCCGCAGAGCGCGTGCATAGGTTGACCTGTAGAGCCTGAATATCCTGATTGGAGCTAGATATAGGCCGTAGAGGACATTAGCGCCAGCAGCAAAGTAGTCCATTCTCTCCGTAAAGACGAAATCACGCATGTGGAAGACGGTGGACCAAAACCAGCAGAACATGCCAAAGATGCTGAAGAGCCTGTAGTATGGGTAGAGCGGGTATGAGCGAGGTAATTCGCGCTTGAGGCTTTTCAGGCCAGCATAGTGGACATAGCCGTTCAGGATGGAGAAGAGCACACTAAAGGGCTCCTGGATGCCCCAAAGTCGTTTGAATGGCCACTTTCCATGAAATTGCTCGGTTGACTGGCCATTTGCAGCTCGTGAAGCTGTGACGGAGCGTTGACATGCATAATCGCATTCGGAGGGACAATTCCAAAGGAGGAGGCGGAGGTGTAGAGGAAGTGGAGTCTTCTCGGAAAGACAATTCCTCTCCTTGCAGCCCTGCTAGAGAAATTAGAAACGAGAAACGTGATCGATCACCAGAACCAGAGAAGAAGAAAAAAAGGAAGCGAGGAAAGATAAGGGTGAGACGGAGGTGGAGATGGAGGAGATAGGATAGGTGGGTAGGTAGTGGGAGGAAGAGTAGATGGTCAGGAGATCTGAAAGGGATTGAGGGGGAGCTGAACCTGCACACAATCCTTGAATTCCGGGAGACGGTCACCTCGCGAAGCGGCTGTTGGGGAAGCGAACAGGGAAACAGCAAACAAAAGGAAGGAAAAGATGGCCAGGGCACGGCATAAGGACCCTGATGATGATGACGATGACGATGAAGGGAAGTGAGTGCGGGGTAATAGCCACATGGCTTAGGCGGCAGGGTGTGAGAGGAATGGGGAAAGGTAGGAGGAGGAAGAGGTAAACTAGTGGAGGATGGGAGGGGCTTGGTTGCTCGGTGAGGCAAGTATGATAGGAAACTCGGGCTCGCTGCTCGCGTGTCCAAACTCCAAATAAAGAGGGAAAAGGAAAGGAAAGCAACTGACAACAACCCGTCCACGAGCACTGTACGAGTACTGTACCGTGGTAAGTTACGGGTATGATACTGTAGCTTAGCTGACATGCAAGCAATTGACTACCGGTATGATAATAATATGATACCGTACCGGTAATGTACGAGTGCGATAGCAACGACACACCCACTCGCTCGCTCAGCTCATGCAATCCGCACCGAGTAGGAAATCTCAAACCACGGGTAGGAAGGAAGGAAATACGGTAAGAGCTTTGAGGAAGAAGGTAAATAGAGATCTCAAAAAGGACCAGAGAGAGACACACCTGTCCTACCATTGACGGTTTTTTGTGATGGTATTTGCATGTTCTGGAAAGAACCCTTCGAATCGGGTTCTCCGTTTGCTTGGTCTTGCTTTGGCAACTTCCGTTCGCGATGCCCCGTCTCCACATGCTTTCTTTGGGGAACCCACCGGAAAACCACGACCCCAGATGTGTGCCCTGCCCGGGACGGTGCACAACAAGCACTGGCCCAGCTGTGATCGAGTACCGGCGCCATAATACTCGTGTTATGTGCTAGGACTCGAGTGCGGTACTCGTACAGTACAGCACTCACATACGGGCACCACACTTGGCCAACCGGGCCTGTCTGTCCGAAGGCTACCTCTCCTATGTTACTAAGGCAGCAGCAGTGACACTCTCCTGTTGTCACTACCGGTAGCCAGCCATGCTATAATAGATACGGTAGGGGAGTGGAGGCGGAGTTGGATTTTGACCCTTCTCCCTTTTCATTACCGCAAATATTCCCTCACAAGGGGAGGGAACAAAGCGTAGCATATGATAATGTGCCAATTGTGTTGTAGCTCCCAAGTGCGTCTCAAGCAATGCTTGGTGGAAAAGTGCTCCTACGGCGGTATTATGGGGGTTCTTGTGATTAAATTTTGTATAATTTCTCACCTGTAAATCGGTCACTCGCTACTCGTCAGCACCGTTCGAGACAAACGATCACATGTCCTTCGTGCTAGCCCGTCTCCTCCCGACGTCAGCTATCGTGGTAAACGTGTAAGATGGCTTGGAGTGAAGGATCAGGGTTGAAATGGCTTCAAGCGAGAAAGCTCTTTCCCCTCTGTGATTCCTGTTCGAGTTGACCACGGAGAATTGCTCCTCACTCGGCGAACGGGAGGGGAGGGGGAGTCAGGGAGGGCACACCAGCCTGGGGTAAAACGTTTGGTTGATAAACCGTTTTGTCATTACTCTGCTGCCCATTGGTAGGAAGAGGGGAAGTGCCTTTTCTTATTCTTCATCCCTCATCCAGCAATCAGAAGAGGAAATCGCTCTAAAGTCGAGAGTTGTGATAGTCCCCCCCATCTTTGGCTATCCTTTTGGGTGGCCAACTGTCTCTCCCTCTGTGAGTGAGTGAGTGAGTGCGGTTCACCGCTGTGTGTGGTGTTCTCTGCTGGCTGTAATAATTCCAACTTATTATTGGGATATGACATCCGAAGATGGTATTTGTTTTTTGTTTTTGATAGATAACCCACCTCCTTCTCCGACTTCGAAATCTGTAGAGTGACACCTGCCTAGTAACCGTCCTCTAAATTTACCACTTTCCCGAAGTCACCGAACCATGTATTGTTCCCACGATGTCGTTCCTCAGCCGCCGATAGCTGTATCCAACCACTTTCCCTCATCTTGATCCATCATGCCCATCTCTTCTAATTCCTGTCACTTCTCTGTCTACTAGTACAACTACTTGTACTCGTACTGCTGTTGCTCGTCCGCCTGCTTTAGGGTTCCATGCCGCTCGGCATTATCGTTGCTATTACAAGTCTGTGATTGATTATGATACATTGCAGTGCCGATACTGTGCTGGGTGCTGCTTCCCGCAAGGCCGCCGCGCTATTGCTTGCCACCGCTGCTGAGTCCGCCCCTCGGACCGTATCATTGCGTGCCCCCTCTTCATCAACAGCTTGCTGCCTCAATTTGCTTCTGCTCCTCCTTGCGGACATTTTGTTCCTTTGCAAATGGGGCCATGGATGCCCCAGCTAGAGAGACAGACATTTCCTCTTCCATCATATCCTAGATGTTGTCGCCGCTCTCTGCCCCCCCCCATCTGCCTCCTCCCCCTCTAGACTCTGTTTTCTATTCTTTTATCCCACCCCTCATCCCTCCCTCCCTAAATTTCCTTCCATTCTCGTCCATCTGCAAACTCCCCATCCCCGATATCCCACTCCAAGCTGCAATTACCGTACTTGCTCAACCCCCCCCCCTTTTTTTTTGCCTTTCGCCTTTCTTGCTCTTCTACTTGTCCTTTCCCTCATCACCGAACCTGCATACCCTGCTACCATCCATATCTGGTAGTCTAGCTGCGACTTCTACGAGAGTGAGTGAGTTTGCTTGGTTTGAGCTGGAGCGTGCATACCCCTTACTTACTATTTACGTCTCCCATCGTCGTCTCTCCCCCGAGAGGTCTGAGACAATCTTGTTAAGTGAGCAGGAAGGAAGAGAAATAGTATAAAAAAGTAGAAGATTCCATTTTAAATAATCACCAGATCTTGAGGAAAACCACAGCTTTAAATCCAGCCCACGTTCCGGGCCTGCACAGGGAGTTGGCGTCCAAGACACAAGTTAGCGTCCGGCTCAGGTAGCAACATCAGTGCTCGCAGAGTGTGCAGCGCAACAACCTTCTTCTCTGTGCCTGGAAGTTCTGTCCGCCCACCCAGTGAAATTTCCTCGGGCTGATTTTAGCCTCCGTCGACCATTGGTCCCACCGAGTGTTGCGGGATACAGTTAAGAGGGAAACCCAGTCCAGCACCTAAAAGCAGGGAATTTCAGGGAGCCGAGCTGTAAGAGTAAAAAAGGAAGGGAAAGAGGAGAAGTAGGACAAGCCCCTCGATTATTTTCCTCGACTGGACGGAAAGCTGGAATCAACATCTTTGGATCTGTCGGTTGGCACTTTGGAACAATATCGGGAGCAGATCGATCATCATCACTCTTTGGGACAGGGCCAGCGGCGAGAAAGAACGGACGAAAAAGAGCAAGAAAAAAAAAGAGAAAATAATCTAAAAAGTGCGCTGTGGGAGGAGAAACCGGGAATAGACCTAAAGTTACGGTTTACTCACCTAGAGCAACGGTACAACCACAAGACTTAGCGTCAACCTCTATCCCCTCCTCTCTTCACTTCTCCACTCGCTCCTCCTTACACCTATTTGCTGCTTTTTGCGCCCAACGAAAGTGACAGGTGGGTGAGAGTCCACCAAACCCTCGACTATTTTTACTTTTACGCCGGGAGTATCCAAAAAGTAGAAGAAGACATCAACCATCATGGTCACGGCATTTCAATTCTTCCGTGGCGGGGGCACCTCACCAGCCTCGTCTGCTCCAGGAACACCCCTCCTAACCTCTCACGTCACTACGGCTCAATCGTCATCGACAGCGCCCGCGACTCCGATTGCGGGACCTTCCCCGACCACCGCTACCGCTCTTCCAGAGTTGAGCTGCCTATCTCCACTTTCACGTAGACAGTCGCCCGTTTTGCGTACTGGCTCGACTCCCCTGGGTAGTTCGGGTAACGGGACTACCACTGCCACTTCTCATTCAAATGCTGTCGCTTCCCCAAGGCCTCAATTGCCTTTGAACACGGCTGCTGCGGTAAGCTCCTCAGCCTCTAACATGCTTAGAGCAGTAGCGGGTCAGAGGTGAGCGCTTTTTGTACTTTCCGTTTGTGTCCTGGTTTCTACCCGCGAAGTGCGCTGTCCTTGGTGTCACATCTCAACAATTCCCTGAATTTGTCTCCCATTTTCTTTTGCTGCAATTGCTCTTTTGGCCATCTGGCTTCTGTGTTTTGTCTTGTTCACGAGATGTGGCGTGCAATTTCAAATGGCCTACGAATATTACTTCTCTTCAACCCTCAAAGCTGGACTGACGGTCCGGATATTGAACACAGATCAGATGATGATGAGAACTTGAGCGGCCAGACAACACCCCACCCGAGCGGCCTAGACAAGAGATTGCCTGGGATACTACATGGTTTCTCACAGGTTTGTAGTGAACTTCTACCTTTTCTCCGTCGAAACACTACACCGCTGGAGCCAAGACTCCCACCCCAATCCAGAAAAACGGTTTCCTTTGAATCCAGCTCGTGTCATTTCCTTTCTGCCTCCTTGTCGGATATGGGATTAGAGGGGAAAGAGAGTAAAAGGCTGACAGGGGACGTTTTTTCGGACGGAAAGGATACACCCCCGGCCACACCTCGAGGGACCGCGTCAACCGGTAGTACACTAAGTGGTTCTACCGCGGCTACAACCCCTTCAACTTCTAGGCCCAACTCAACATCCGCATCCAACAATAACACTACACCAATGTCCCCCAAACCTGTCAGTCCTGGGAGCGGAGCCTCAAGTAATGCGGCGGCTCATGCAGCAGTTGTTCCCCCAAAGGGAAAAATGGTTGTCAAAATCATCGAAGCGAGGAATTTACGACCTAGCAAGGACCCATATGTTGTTTGCACCTTTGAGAGTAACGAGTTTATTTCCAAAGGTCCTAAAAAGTCTGATGACTCAGGCGACGGTTCTGATAATGAGAAGGCGGCCCTGGCTCCTGGGCGGGGAATCGCAATTCCCATGAAAAGCCGTCAAAGCTCCAGTACTAGCCTTTCGGAATTGCAGGGTGGGGGTTCAAAGAAAGGGATAACAAATCCCAAATGGGAACATGAAGCGGTATTGTGAGTTTACCTAATTTATGTTGGCATTATTCATTTTTCTTTTATTTCTATTTTTTTCTTCTTTTTTTCTCTGCCCACTTTCCACTTCCACTTCTCGCCGCTTTCACATGAATCTTTTGTCTTTTATTTTTACGTCTCCCCCCACTTTGGGTGGATTTATAGCCCCCACTTCAACCTGTGTCACCTTCGCTATTTTTCTAGCATCCAACCGGAAAGCGTCAAAAAAAAAAGGAGCGGCTGCCGTTGCTACATAGACCAACAATGGGAAGGATATTTCGCTGACGTTGCATAATCAGTGATGTGCTTGGTGAGCAATCAGAGATTGACGTGTCGATATATGACCGTTCAAACCAAGAATGCTTTTTGGGCCATGTTCGAATGTGTCCTTTGGCTACTAGGGAACAACAATCTGGTCTAGATAATTGGTTTGCTTTACAGCCCAGAACACATCACGAGAGTGTTGCGGGAGAGATTCGATTGCAGATTAGCTTCGAGAGAATCTCTAAAAAGCATTATGGCCCTGATGATTTTGAAGTGCTACGGCTGATCGGTAAAGGTGAGTTTTATGTTCCTGCGATCGGTCCGAATCGTCTGCGTTAACCCGGATACTAACATTATACACAGGAACTTTCGGTCAAGTCTACCAGGTCCGGAAAAAAGATACTAAACGGATTTATGCTATGAAAGTCCTGTCCAAGAAAGTAATTGTTCAAAAGAAGGAAGTGGCACACACGCTTGGTGAACGTAACATCCTTGTCAGGACCGCGACTACCGATTCACCATTCATTGTTGGATTGAAGTTCTCGTTCCAAACGCCTACCGATCTCTACTTAGTGACGGACTACATGTCTGGAGGGGAGCTGTTCTGGCATTTGCAAAAGGAAGGCAGATTCAAGGAAGATCGTGCCAAGTTTTATATCGCGGAGCTTATTCTTGCGCTGGAACATCTGCACAACCATGACATCGTTTACCGGGATTTGAAGCCAGAGAACATTCTACTTGATGCTAATGGCCACATCGCACTTTGTGACTTTGGACTTTCGAAAGCGAACTTGTCTGCGAATGCTACTACAAATACATTTTGTGGAACTACCGAGTACCTCGCTCCAGAAGTTCTGCTGGACGAACTGGGGTATACTAAGATGGTTGATTTCTGGTCTCTGGGAGTGCTGGTGTTCGAAATGTGTTGCGGGTGGAGTCCGTTCTATGCCGAGGATACCCAACAGATGTATAAGAACATCGCGTTCGGGAAGGTCCGCTTTCCACGGGATGCTCTCAGCCTTGAGGGTAGAAACTTTGTCAAAGGTGTAAGTTTAAATCCCCCCAGATTTGGCGTAGCATGTGCACTGGCCAGGTTTTATCGTCTTAGCCGTGCATCTGGGCTGATATCATGACCTCCATCCTAGCTTCTCAATCGAAACCCGAGACATCGTTTGGGGGCTACACTTGACGCGAAGGAACTTAAGAGTCATCCTTTCTTCAATGACGTGGATTGGAACGAGCTTTTACGCAAAAACGTTATACCCCCTTTTAAACCGACGCTTAGCTCGGAAACCGATACATCAAACTTTGATCCGGAGTTCACCAACGCTCCGATGTCTCAGTCATTGAATGCACGAGCTGCTGCGTTGGCTTCTGGAAATCTGGCAGCAAGTACCCCCCTTAGCCCGGGGATGCAGGCTAATTTCAGAGGCTTTACTTTTGTGGATGAGAGTAGCATTGATGATCACTTCTTAGGACGGGATGAGTTGGCGCGAATGGACGAAGGCGAGGAGGATGGCGATTGGGACGAAAGACATGATAATAGGAGAAATAACGACGACGAAGATGATGCGAGGGGATTCGACGGAAGGGGCAATCGCATGAGTGGAATAGTCAAAACCGGTCAAGCGGACGATGAGGCAGGCATATTCGTTAACGACGGTATGGATATATAGCGAGTGTTTCCCTTTTTAGTTGGAGGATACGGGTATCTGTTTCGGATTTCCATTTAAAGTTCTTTTTCTTTTTTCGTTTCATCCTCGAAAGCATTGACAAAATAGCATCATCTGGTATACTTCATGGCCATTGGTAAGATTAACTAGTGCAATTCCTACGAATATGGGATTATTATTGTTCCCCATTTCGTTTCATTATGTTCTATGGCTGCTTCATAGTGTTCCTGACTTCTACTACTACTACTTAGTATTTGTCCTTTTTTCATGTTTTTTTTTTTTTTTTTGCCCAACCGATTGTGCGAAGAAAGAAGGAAGGGAAAAAAAGAAACGAATTTCCTTTTTGAATGTGATTTTAACATTTTTCTCATTTGTTGCTATCACGATCTCGAGCAAAGAAAGGCCAGGAGGAGAGGAATTGAATAAGGGAGAAAGAATTGCATGGCAGTATAGGCTAGCAAGCGGTCATTGAGATTTGGAACTTTGTTGCTTAGATTAGCAATAAGTGTTTCGTTTCTTTTTCTCTTTCTCATTTTTTTTATTTTTTTTTACATAATTAATTTTTGTTATATCACGGAGCACGGGGTTCTTTTTCCTTTTTCCATTTTTTTTTTTCCACTTCCCCTTATCTCCTGCTTGTTCTTTTCATCCCTTCTCCTCACTCTTTAGTGGTTACTCCGGAGGAGAGGAAGAAAGAAAGAAAAGGATCATTCTTAAGTTAATCAAATTTGAGCAATTGCATGCTACTAGTATGGTAATTTTGTTTGTTCACACTTTCTTCTTCCACGAGCTAAAGCACGCTTATTGCATCTACCTATCTTTGTAGTTGTGCCTACGTAAATTGCTTGTTTTTTATTTTCCCGTTTTTAATTTTCTTGTTTATAGGGTGGCATATCATTGCATAGCATAAGATGGGTGGATGACTCGATGAATGAAAGAGTATTTATTTTGGTTTATCCGTAGTTGGCATTTGGAAGCGTTTTTGTGAGGCGAGTGATAATTGGGATGGACTGGGGGTTGCCGTGTTGTGGCGTTCATGAGTGTGTGTAATGGGGTACGGTAGTTAGAGAGGGGAATGGAAGAATAGAAGAAAAGGGTACGAGTACTGTACTGTACTACTGTACATAAAGTTGTAGTGTAAGCGGGTGTATAAAAAGCTTTGGATCAAAGAATGCTTGAGGGTGATTTGAGAATTCTGGAAAAAGAAAGGGAGAACGGGGAAGTATGATATCCTTTGCAAACTGGTGGTATGCATCGCCTGCAGCCTGGTGACCTATCATAGTACCGAACGCTAGCCTTGAGCTTCCAGGGTTTGCCTGGTGAACAGCTTCTGATGAAATGGTACGGTGTAGTATCAGTACCCTATAGTAATATGATAATTATTATATGAAATGTCATACAAGCAACACTTGTAGGAATCCGATACCGACACCCTGGCTCTGGGACTCCTGGCACGTCTCGACTCAGGGCGTACCGCGTACCGTGCAACCTAGGAAATACCGGAATGCACCAGCACGAGGGGGTGTGGTGGAGGGTCACCAGCCTTTACAAGTAGAGGAAGGAGAACAGCCCAGGTAGAAAAAAAATCCTCAAGATCGCGTGGCCGTTATTTAAGAAATTATAACCCCCAGGAACAATTTCCCCACGGGCCGTGCCGTCTGACCCTTGCCAGTGTGTTCTGGTTTCTCCTAGATATCGGGTGTTGTAGGACCTGGGATAGCAATATACGGCGGGGTGGAGGGGATCTAGCCATGTTTTGCGGTGAAAGGCCAACCCCCCCCCCCGGATATAACGGTAGGAGGTAAGTAAGAGAGGTGCATGGATTGGCCAAGAAGTGGGTTTTATTTTGTTGAGAGGTTCCTCAGACTATTGTACTCGTATTTTTCAGACGCCTGGATTGGCTGAACCCCAACGAATCTGACCGGCGGAGCCAATAATTAGAAAAGGTATATATATAAAAACACCAACTTGGCGGAGGAAGAGAGGACAAGGTGTAATCGCCCACAATTGCTTCGTTAGCTATGGAGATTACCATTTCGGATTATATTAAACTGGGTACTTGGACCCGATCCTGAATGGACAGAGAGCATTATGCACAACGCTGCGCTGGAGAGTACAACACAGTACAATAATTCATTCGACACCGGGTGTTTGGATCACACTGTTAGTGGAGACGACAAGGAGGAAGAAAGCTGCGGCTGCGAAGTGTGTTCACTCAAATGGGGAGATCCGGCGGGATTCTCGAGCGTGTGGTACGGCTGTCTCTAGGGTCATGAGGGTGTGCTCGTGGACGTACACTGGACCGCTTAAAGAAATTGCAATAGACAGGACCACTAGAGCACTGTGCCAGATGTTCTTGAGGAGACCTGGCTAGCTTGCTCTCCCCGTATACTCGGGATGTTGACTAAAAGCTCGATTTAGTGTGCGGGGCAGACGCACTTCGAGAGCCTGTGTGCGGGAGGGCGAGAGGTGGAAGGAACTCACCCTACCAGACCCTCTTGTATTCTCCCCATCTACCCATGTCCGTGTTGATCCGGCCTTGTGCTTCTGGAATATGCCCGTACCTCGTTAATTGATGTCGAGGAGATCTCGGGGGGAACAAGAGAAAACCCCCATTGATACTTCTTAATTGTGCTTTTACTCTTTTTCTTTCCTTCTCTTCCTTCCTCCCCTTACGCCAGGCGTTTCAGAAATTTCCTGTTACGTGTGGAAGGGGTTTTGTATGAAGAAAAGAAGGGCAAGATGGATTAGTATAATGGCGCAAACCAGATTACAATACTGGGTTGTTGGATATTGAGGTAGATGGAGTAAAACCGGTGGTTGTTGCAGGGGTAATGATTGAAAGGAGGATTTTACGCAGTGGATAGAGATGGCTCTGATGAGAATGAGAGAACCTTGTATTGTATGTGTAGAGATAGGGAGAAGAGAAGAGAGAAGATTTTCATGTATAGTAAGTAAGGAGTGAAGATGATTGATTTTAGAGAAAGAGAAAAAGAGAGAAGGGAGGAAAACGTATCATGGAGGTGAAAACTTTTCACAGCTCACGTGTCCTCATATGAGAGGTGCGAACACCACCGTAGTTTCAAGCTAAGGGTATTTAACTACCATTTTCAACACAAGTCTTATCGCCATACCCGAGTGATGGAGTATGATAGCCCCCGAGGGTTGCAAAAGATTTTACTCTCCAGTTCTTGCGCTGCTACCTCTTGGTTCTTTTAGTGTGTGTGTGTGTTAGAGGTATATTAGAGTTTCAGCTTGCCTTTTGGGAGAGGTGGGAGAGGAGGAAATTCAGTTTTTGGTGTCATGGGTCGGCATGCTGGTGTTGTGGGTGGTGTGGAGATTCCCCTCTCGCGCTGACCGGGTCATTGACCTGAGCCGGCTCGGCCAGCACGATTAACGTCGTGAACCTGGCGTGGTGATGCTTTCCAAGTGTCATGTGGGATCACTCGTATCTGCTGGGGAGTTTTAGTTTTAACAATAAGGGGTGTCACTAGCTGAAGTACCATAATGCTAGCAGGACTCGATCATGGTTGTTCGGTGAGTGCTCGAGGTCATGAGAGCCTTCGTTTTTCAACCGGTACTATGTGGTTCCACCGGACTCAAATATGTGTTAGAATAGACAAAGAGGAGATACAATCGTATTGTAGAAGACAATGATCCTAGCTAGAAGAAGAAGAGAGTAAAGGGAGAGGAGAGTGTTGTAAATTTATCCGAGAGGATAAGCTCATGAACAAGAAGGTGACCTAAGTGGTGACCGAGCCTCACTTGAGACTATGGCAAGAGTACGAGTACAGCTATAATTTCTAACAATATGTGCTCCACTAGCCTCTCCCTGTCCCTTGTTTCGAGCATTTGTCGTTTCATTCACAGCTAAACCGGTTATGGGCATGTGGGTTTTTCTTCTAGACTTCTCTAGATATCTGCGTATGTGCAAACACCCTCGCTGGCAACATTGGCGTCCTTACCTTCCGCTTTGTAAGGTATCCTTTATAGCAAGAACGAGGCTGTTGTGGACTAAATTATAAGGGTAATCCCTGGGGGGATCTGCGAGGGATGTCGTGCTTATGCGGTGGTTACCGCTGTCACCGTGGGCCATACCGCAAAAGAGATATGCTATCATATTATGGAATCGAGGGCAATAGAGAGCCATCTTGGAGCTAAAAGATACTATCATAAAATACTGAGTGTCGCTAAGATTCAACAGCACATTGGAACAACCTACAAGTTGAGCCATGCCCCCAAAAAATGGAATGCCAGTACCGCATAACACATTTGCACAAAGGCCGGAAAAGTGCCATTTTTCTGGCGTGCCAAACAGTGCCCAAGTATTGCCTCCTTGTACTGTATTAAAGGGAAAGCTGTCCGTTGAATTTAGGCATGTGAATTTTACACGAGCCGGTGCTGTGACAACCTTTGCAAAATCGTTAATAATTCAAAGACCCCTCGGCTGGTTCCAGGGAAATCCATTTTCTCATCTCTTTTATCCTTTCTTGAGTGGGTCGCCCAATGGCTTGCCTGATATAATATGGTAGAGAGATGTTCCAACCTTAGTCTCACAGTTTCTCAGGAACCCAAGGTTCGCGCTCAGTTGATTTCTGGGGGTTACCCGGCCTTAACGTGATACACAATCCCCCCTTGTTTTTCGCTTGCAGTCGCGTCTTCCCGGAATTATCGTGCTGGCATCAACTGCGCTTCAACACTTTCACCATTCACCCCACTCTCCGCCCCAATCTTCCGCTGATAACCTTAACCGCCTTTAACTCACCCTCATTTTTTCTTTTCCATCTCCGCCCTATATCATGCCACGCGCACGCCGAGTTCCTCGTTAGTACCTACCTGCATCATTCCCTCTTTCCTCCTGCTCTTGCCACTAACTTGCTCTTCACCCTCTCTCCAGCACCTCTCGAACCTCCCTCCCCCGATCTAGCCGATGACTCCGCTCCCCGAACAGCGACGCAAACTCCCCAGCATGATGGTGACTCGGGATCTCCATCGACGATGAATGAAACCGGGACCGAACCATCCACTCCCGCTGCGGCCAACGTAGCTGTCAAGCGCAAACGTGGCCGACCCTCTAAAGCGTCACTCGACGAGGCTCGTCGGTTGTCTACGCCTCTTCATGATGACGATGCGGGGCAGGATACATCTGATGTAGGAACACCCCTTACCAACGCTGCTGGTGCAACCCCACAAACCCATGGTTTCAGTCTTTCGTCCAAGAAACGCCGGGGACGCCCCCCAGCTTCGGCCAAGGCCATGCGGAGCCGAGGTGGTCCGTCTCATGTTACCTCTGTCCCACTTGACAAGGATGGCAAACCCCAGGAAGTAGAGGACGACGAGATTGTTCTCCCCGAGGATCCCGCTGGTGAAGAGAAGGTGGACAAATTTGGCTATCTGCAAGGTGGTAGAGAATATAGGTGCCGAACATTTACTATCCTTGGCCGCGGAGAGCGACTTTACATGCTCTCCACGGAGCCTGCGCGTTGCATTGGTTTCCGCGATTCGTACTTATTCTTCCAAAAGCACAAGCAACTTTTCAAGATTATCATGGACGAGGATGAAAAGTTCGATATGATCAAACGGGATCTTATCCCTCACTCGTATAAGGGTCGCGCCATCGGTGTTGTAACTGCGCGCTCAGTTTTTCGTGAATTCGGCGCAAGAATAGTCGTCGGCGGTCGGAAGGTCACCGATGATTACTGGGAAGCCCGGGAAATCACTGGTGGTGCCATTGAGGGGCAGCTCGCGGACCCTGAGGATCGTCTTCCACAAAGAGGCGAGGAATATAACAGGAATCAATATGTCGCATGGCATGGCGCTAGTAGTGTATATCATACGGGACAGCCGAGCGTTCCCATGCCCCAGGGGAATCAGCAGGCGCGGAAGAAGAAAGTTGTCGTTACAGATACCAATTGGATGCTCGAACACTCTCGAGCTGCAAGGTTTGCGACACCCCCTTGATTATATTCTTTAGCTTTGTATCATTTGTCAAGATCCCGGCTGACCTCTCTTCACAGCCAATTCAACTCCCGCCTTCTTTCCCAGCGCCAACAGTCTTACTCCAAGGGTGTCTACGAACCACACACCAATCTAATATTTCTCCCGGAGGGCACTCAACCTACGCACGCCAAATGGCAACACCTCCCTACCGATGACGTCTCGAAAGAGAATGCCAGAGGCGTCGTCATCGAAACCATCTTTGAAACCCCTCCTAATAATATCACCCTTGGCCTCGACTCACACCTCGGTTTCACAGACTGGAGCCAGGCCGCTATCGACAGTCTGGAAACAGAGGAAGAGCGGACTGCTGTTAGGGAGCAGGTTAAACGGCAAAAGGGCTGGAGGGAAAAGTGGGGTCTTGGTGAGGATGGAGGATTGGGCGGAGGTTTGGTAATGTCGGCTTAGAAAAGTTTTCCTCTTTCTTTCCTTGCCCTTCTCCATATATTTGTTCATGTTGATGTATTACTATTGTTGCTGCTACCTCACCGGCTCCTTGCCACATATTCTTTCCCACGTTTAGTTCTTTCGTTCTTCTCGGAAAATGGATTTGTGTGGGCGTGATGGGTATATCATACTTTCTAGATTTGGTGGCTTTGGCAGCCTTTTTTATTTTATTTTATTTTTACAACACTCGTTGGCGGGAAAATGGTTATGGATGTAATATACCATTACTCATTGTTATGCACGTGTTTCTCACCTGCGGTGTCATATAGACCGAGTGTTCGAAACGCACACGGAACCTGCGAATTAAAGTGGATCCCAAACATCAGAGAGACTCCCCAGTATGATACTTTTTCTCCCCAGGCCGTCGCCGCATCCCGGCCCATCCAGTACATACACAGCAATGGAAAGTACTGTTAGGTAATGAAGAGGGCGGGAGTCGGAGCACGGTATGTCTGTCAGTCTCGTGTTATATATAGTATTATATTTCCCAGCAACTTGCCCGCCGGTCCGGCGATGAAGCGGAGATTACTGTACCACCTGCATACCGACACCCACCGATTTGGTCATCATACAAGTACAAGTACTAGACACTCTGACCCGAGCTCACCCACCCACTCACTCGGAAATCCTAGCGTACAAGAGCTTACACCCCCCCTTCCCTTGCGAATGTAATTTTCTAAGCACGATAGAGAATGCAAAGGCGAGGCCGGATCAACCCCCACTATCTATCTATCTATCCAGGAAAACGCAAGTGATATCAAACTGCGGGAGCGGACCACCTCCTGATGCCGGATCGGCCTACTCCCTCCACCCAGCTTTTCCGAGTGGTCTATGGTATAGTACGCCGTTGGGTTGAAATGCCGTGGAGTATTAGCACTCCTTTTTTCCCCCCCCCCCCCCGCTACGCTCGCGGTCGTGGAATGTGGTGTTGTATTGAGGTGAAGTACCGGTTCCTGGTTGGGTGCGCCCCGCTGGGTCTTTCGGTGCGTGTATTGATTGGTGGATTCTGGCAGTTGGTCGGATTTTTCTGATCTAATTTTTTTTTTTGTAATGGGATATTGTGTTTGTGTGACTGGCTGGCTGGTCCTTGCATTCGGCGGACGTTGGTCGATGAATCTATACCAAGGGGTTGGTATGGCTTATCATTCATTATGAGGGGGTGTCTTGGGAGCGACAGTATTGGGGGATTTAAAAATCGTGATACTCGGACGGCACTGCTCCTGTCTTGCCGGTTATGGTCATGAGCCCGGCCAATAAGTAGCACCGGGAAACCGCGCGACCAGTAAATAAATAGGATACGTATCAATGATCGCCAAGACCGGATTCCGCAGTAGTTATAAACAAATAGTTGAATCACTTGTACGATATATCGTATGATAGAGGATTTTTTTTTTTTAAAAAAAAAATCAAAAACTTTTGTGCTATGCATGATATCAACTTTGTGAACAAGAGAAGTGAAAAACAGAGACAAGGCTAATTTGGCAAGAATCTAGACCACCATATACGCTATCCTTCCCGAGACGCCACATATTACCCTACAGCATACTGAACCCAAGAAGATAGAAGGAGACGGGGTATACCGGTAATTGTGGCAGAATAAAGCCACAAGTTCTAACTCACAAACCAACTAATAAATCTCCAAGTTCTCCATCCCTTTCAAGGGGCTCGGGAACCCCCGCCCACCACTACGGCCCTTGGAAGGACTCCTCCCCAGCGCCTCCCGTCTAAGCACTAACGACTCCCTCCTCAGCGCCTCATTCTCACCCTCGAGTTCCCGTATCCGCTCGGCTGCGCCCGGGGGTGTGTCTTCGCGAACTAGAATATCGAGCAGCCACATGGTTAGCACCGTCTGCACGAGATTTTAAGCAGGTATAATACTTTTGATGCCCTTACGCAGAATCTCCAGCTTCCCATCGACGTAGCCTTCCCGCCACTCCTCTTCCATCTCATAGTGCTCTAGTGTCTCCCGGCGGACTTCTTCCAGGCGCTCTTCCATCTCGTCTGCTACCTCTTCGCGCACTTGCTGCTCGGTTGATAGGCAGCGTTCCTCGGCGTCGCGCCAGCGGGCTTCAGTCTCTTCCAACTGCGCTATTAGGCGCGCTATCAGGATGTCTTTGCTGTCGTCTTGGGTGACGGAGGTTGGGATTGCTGCTAGTTCGTCCAGAGTGGAGGAAGCGGCGCTGGAGTCGGACATTCCGGAGATCTGTCGGCTGGATGCCCGGGGGACTGTCACTTCTCTGGCCAGCGCGGAGTAGCGCAGTATCTGCGTCGTAGCGTTGAAGTCACCCATGGCGTCCGCGGTGACTATCATGCTGGCCCTCTGCCCCCCACCCCCAGCGCCCGAAAATGAATTGGAGAATAACAACTCAGTGAGCTTCGACTGGCGCCATGGAACCACAGCTGGTTTTCCGTTATCGCTGACTTGCGTTTGTAATTGCAAACACTGGCCCAAGCACATTAAGGAGCGATTGATAGAACCCGCCTCGGCAAGCCTTTCCCCCGCAGTCTTCGCAGTACGGGCGCGTTCCGAACCAGCAAGATCAACTATATGCAGGCTCGCTCCGCCCTTCTCATTCCCTCTCGGAGAAAACCTCTTGACTTCTACCTGGAGGAAGGCGTGACTGCGAGAGCTTACTGAGTTACTATGCGTTGGTGAGGCCCTGCGAGAGGCTTGTCCATGTTCTAATATCTGGAGTGCCTCCTGGAAGTTTTTCGTATAAACCTTGCGAAGGCCCGATACTACCTTTTTAGATTCCTTGGAGGTATCCCAAGCTGCAGTTGTCGAGGGCTTCTTAAAGATCAGAGCTTTGCGACGGTTTTGTTTATTGATACTCAAATCGTCGAGCAAGTCGAATATACGATCATTGTATAGCTCATACATTGATATAAGGACAGCATATTTTGATTTGCTATCCAGATCTACCGACAAATCACTGACATCAGGCGCCTTTGGAGTGGAAATGTGGGCAAGCGACGAGCGTTTTGATGTATGTCCATCCTGAAGCCTGTGAGCTAAAAAATTCCCTGGCTTGGGCCGCTTAGTGGGGGTCTTTACTAAAGCACTATTCATCCTTTCGTGAAAGGTAACAGCATCCATTAATATAGCTTCCGTATGATCGCTCCCCATAATATCAACTCTGTCGTAATCCACCACTCTATCCCCTATACTTGAGAACAGCACATCCAGAGCCATCTGTGTCATACCCTTCTGATCCTTACTGCCAAGTATTGTATGTGTCTGCGGTTCAGTTCGAGTTCCTTACTGTTAGTTCCGGTTCCAATCATTAGGGGCGCAAGCCCACCTTCCCACTCCCGGTAACACCCAACGTGGCCAGTGTTCCATCCCGCCCATTTATCGCCTGCTGCAACAACGGCATAACCGTCTCGACAAACACATCCTTCTGCTCTGAGAGCTCGTCAAAGATGCTCGTGAATCCGAACTTTTCGATAGCTCTAAACCTATTTCTCTCCTGTGGAGGCGTCACATAGACAAAATTTTGACTCGGGGCCGAGGTCAAGAAGCGTGTTTCCGAAACCGAGGATTGCGGTGATGATGGGCGAAGTCTTAGAAATACTTGGAATAGCTGTGCTGTTGAAGGCGGTGGAGATTTCGCGCTCTCCATAGCTTATGGTTTTGGTTCGCTACTCCTGGTTATTTCCTTTTTCTTTCTCCCTCTCTCTCGGGAACAGAGCGAAACGTGTTGTGGAGGGAGCCGTGTGTGATATGCAGAGCAGGCAAGATGTGATTTGTACTTTATATAGATTTTCGTAGCGGGGAGATGTTGGTGGGGGGCTTTTGATAATCGGCAGAGAGTTTGAGGATGGTGGACGAAGCAAACAAAACACGAGGGGGATAAGGAAGGTGCAAGGTGAGCCGGTTGCTGGGGCAACTGAGTCCGACCATCTGGCAAGGAGGGAAACACTCCCACTCCCTCCCGCGTGGTAAGGAGGGCGATGGAAATTGTTTATTTTTACCCAAGTATCTTCATGCATTGACCCAGCATCGGGTGAGATGCATGTGTTATTTCGAGAATGATAATTTAGATTATCTGCGGAGGGGGGCTAATAAGCATTTTCTTTTTTTGAGAGAAGCCCGGCTATTGTAATCTTGTATAACCACAGTGGAAATCCTGTAAAGAAAAAATAAAAATAATAATAATCAGAGGGCAGGTACCGTACCGGTATTAGGTGTGTGCGGCTAGATACAAGTACCCTTTCTTTTCTTTTCTTTTCTTTTCTTTTCTTTCTTTTTCTTTTCCTCCTAAATAAGTCAAAGCTCATACCGGTACTAGCAAAAGGGAATTCCTTCGATCACCGGAGCCCTTGGTTGTGTACGAGTACTTACTACACAATGCAAGTACCGTAGACTACAGCGCCCGAGTACTGGTACAACTTTTTACATACACATGAATAGTGGCATAATAGGGAAGAAAACAGGAATACCGGTAGAAGAAAGAAGAAAAAAAAAGAAAAAAAAAAGGAAGGAAATAAATATCATACCAAATATGACAGTGCCCCAACCCGACTTAGCGCTATCCCATTGTGGTATCTCAAGACTACCGTAATGATTAGAGATGAGAGAGAATTACTCTTCCTAGCCAATCAAATCCATTCTCCAAATTGAACCTCCCAGTACGACGTCACACACGTTCTCAGAAATACAGCAGGACACAACAGAGAAACAACCCCCTTCCCCCCAAACCTCACCCAATCAATCATTCATTGTCCCCTTGCCTCGATTTCCCTATTGGAAATATTGCCTCAGACCCCGCAAGTAATACGGGGCACGGTATCTACAATACAGAGTTCCACAGTGGATATAATCCCTCCTGTTCACTTTTTTCTCCCACTCCCCCCACCCAACCTCGCGTACTTAATCCGGCAAATATCAAAAGTAAATAAATAAATCCCCATCCGCCCTTTCTCAGCCTCGCCCACGAAATTCCCCTTCCTCATCCCCCCCCCAACCCTACCTACATCTTTATCCCAATCGCTTTATCCCACACCTATCCATACACCCATCGTGCCAAAAAATGTCCACCAGAAAGCGTAAGCAAGAAGCCGCTGCTGAAGAAGGCGAGGAGGAAGAGGAATTGCAAGCTCTTCCATCTGATGAATCGGAGGAGGAGGAAGAGTAAATTCCCCCATCTCCCCTATTCCAATCCCACCCTTTCCCCAATGCTAAAACGAGAGGATAGGTATGTAGATTCCGGACCCGAAGATTCCGGTGCCGAAGAGGAGGAGGAAGAGGGGGTTGAGGAGGCCGATGAGGAAGAGGAGGAAGATACGGCTGAAGCCTCAAAACCGAAGAGGCGCAAATTGGAGAAGGGCGATGAGGATGAGGCGGAAGCTGATGATGCTGAGGGGAAGGAAGATGGTAAGCTACTCACTCTCCTTTGTCTTTTACCCTCACCCTGCGCGCAGTGGCTGACAGCAATAGAACCCAAAGACAAGGAGGGAGAAGGGGCTGAGGCAGAAGCTAAAGCCGAATCGAAAGCTGAGGCGGAAAAGGCTGAGGACTAGGACTAGGAGGAAGAGAAATAAGTAGTTTCCCCTTCCCTACGCAGCGGCCTCCCGAAGCAAAGACTGATTGATATTCAGCCCAGTTTTCCCTACTTCCACTTTCTCCCTAAGATCAATTGACGTTCGGGATATCATCATCGTTCATATGTACTTCCACTCCACTATATTTTGTTCATTTTCTCAGAAAAATATTTTTGGAAAAGGAAAGGGGAAAACAAAAAAGGCCGAATCCAACTGAAAAAAGATAAATGAAGCGCGCGTTTTTGATAATCTTACATTCTTGTTTGAACTCGAGTAACTTCCATTCCCTTGCGTTGCGTTGCATCGGTCCAATGAGGATCCATTTGGGAATGGAATGATTAGTAATAAGCCATTTTGTTATCATACTAATTGATTGTGATCTCATGAGGTCCAATGGATGGATAGGAGGAATAATGGATGCGTTGCAATTAGTTTGGCAAGCCAATCGTGCTGCCCTACCAAAGTGATAAACAAACAGGGTTTTAGTGGTAAAACAAGCTCACGTATCATGGTTGAAGAGAGAATGTTGCGAAACTGTGCAGTTATCCCTTACCACCCCGGCAATACTTTACTACAGTACAAGTAAAAGTAAGCCGCAAGAGGCCCGACTAGCAACCCCAATTGAAGGGGAGTGATCGTGATTGCATGAGCAGTACCATTTTTTTTTTACCATTGTTTGGCAATCCACCTGGGTCCACAGGGAACCAGGTCCACTACTCAAGCTATCACCGCACCAATCAAAACCGTCCGCATGAGGTATCAAACAGTACAGTAACCATGACAATGCCCTCATCCGCCGATGAAAAAAAAAAAATGAAAAAAGAGAATCCCAAGACTCGAGGGTAAAAAAGTGATTGGAACCAACAAACATAGCTCCTAAATCCCTACAGAACCCTACTATGGAGAGAACGAGAAAAGCCATACCATAATATTATTATCATAATAATATCATACCTGTTCCTTTCTCAGAATGGGTAGCGGTAGATGGTAGGCGTGGATGAGAAAAATGAATTTCCTAAAAATCTCGCGAGCCCGGACCCTCTACACTAGAAGGCTAGCACTGGAGCAAATTTCCAACAAATTAGTTTGGAAATACAATTAGAGAATACTGCAGCTGATGGGTGCATATAGACTTGCAATTGTCTATGACTCAGATGATTTTAGAGACATATATATACAAGATACACAGCTTATAGACAAATAGCAGAATTAAAAGTTAATGTATAATAGTTTCTACCTTAAATAAAACCTATTTATTTCTAATGTCTGCAGTATTGTAATATTATAATATTATGATAATATTATTAAAATAAAATAAAGTTTAAAATGTTCGGGTTGTTCAAGTAAACCAGTAGGGTAAGAACTTTTCCCAGCGTTACAGACCTTACGGTTGCCGTCGCAGGAAAAATTGTCACTTTTTGTAGGAAAACTGGTATAAAGTATCGCCTTACAGAATCATACAGGTTTAGCAATATTGTTACAATTAGGAAATATCAACTAAAATTACAGAATTCCTTATGATAATCAATCCACTTCTTAAATTTACACCATAAATATTTTTCTGATAGATTGTCATCTGCTCTATAAATATATTTAATAAAAAAAAAACCCAACACTTTAAAATATTAACTTTTTAGACCTATTATACACCCAAATTTCTTGAGAAATATATTGTAAGTCTATCAAAGAATACTCTATATGCTAGAGAAGTTTTATATTAGTTTAAGTATATTTGTTACAAGTTTAAAGTTGAATCTTTTCGGCATAACTATCTTCAAAAAATACATTATTTTCAATACTGAGTTTTTTTATTTTCTGTTATGCCAAACAGGGTCTTAATTTCTTTACTTCCTTTAATACAACTACTAGAAAAAATTCTTAGTGATGCTGAGTCTGCAATGTTATTAAAGAAGAGCAAGTAGATATTGGGAAATGTAATACAGCAATATGCTGTACAAGAAAAATTCCATTTCATGCTACAAGTCAAAAACAGTATAAAGGAAAATAACCGAAATAGAAAAAGCGATGATAATAGCCTTTTTCTGCATCTTTGAGTAGATATTGGTAGTCATCACACTTGTCAATCGCCATACTGCCTATGTTTCTATTAGAACAATTAATTGAGCTTGTTGCAAAGTCAACATAAAGATATAGCTTGTTCAAACATGTTCCTGCCTCACAGCCACTCATGCAAAGAAGAGGTTAGACTAGGCCCTTGCCCAGAAGAATTGAGCTGATGAGAGCTTCAAAGGCATTATCTATAGTGATGAGTGCATTGTTAGAAAGTCCACTAACTCAGTCCAGAAGTCGGTTTTCTGAACTCCAGAACAGAATTGGCATGCTGAGTGTATCAAGCCAAGCCAAGTCGAAAAGCCAATGAGGTTAGCTTGATAGTGAGGAGTTACTTTTAGCGTAGTTTTCAGGGCCTCCTGGTGCCTATCTTAGAGAGGAAAGTAGACTATTGAGTCTACATTACTTTTTTAGATAAATTCCTTCTACTAATATATGCAGGAAGTTGTACAGGAGGTAGGAGATCTCTTATTCTAGCAGCATAATACTGTCCTTCATACTTCTAGAGATACTCAGTAAAGGTTTGCTGACAATAGCATTGATTTTGAGGATCATCCTCCTCTCTCTCCCGACCTAAACCCTATAGAGCACCTCTAGGTCAAGCTCAAGTGACATCTCTACATTCAATATCCAGATATCCTGGATCCAAGCGGGTGGCATGAGAGGATATGGGAGTGGCTGTTAGTGGTTTTACTTATTGTATAGATAACAATTCTAAATTCTTTCTTCAAAGAACTCTGATACTCAATACCTTCCAGAATCACAGCTATTATTAGTACTTAAAGTTAGTAGACTAGATACTAGCTTACTGGGCTTTTAACCTTTAACTTTTAATTTGTAATTTTTAATTTCTACTTCTTAATTCTTCATGACTCAATTTCTAATATTTTATCAATGTTTCTGGAATCCTTGAACGGAGCATGTAGATCATATTACATGATTTGGAGCAGCAGAGACTGTCTTACCTTGCACAATCACCAAAAACTTTGTCTAATAGCTGTAGTTAGTATATTAACTAACAGAACTGTTGCAAGTTTATTATAGAGGTGCATAGACTTGGTTAATTTTTTTATTATATATATTTAAAATATATGTTACTTCTTGTAATGATTACCGTTCAGATAGTTAGTTCTTGGCGACGGAGAACAATACTTCTCTTCTTCTTCTACTGTACGATAACTCTTAGGCCTATGCCTACGTCACTGATAGTACAAGACTGATGTCTTATATCTGTAATACCTATTATAAGCTTTTTCTAACTCTATCTTGTGTAGAGTATTCTTATTATAATAGTAATAAAGGTCATAATAATGGTAAAGAGTGTAAAGGTGGTTTATATTCGTTAAAGTAATAAGTAGGAAAAGTACATAGAATTCAATCTAATTTTATTTATACTAGTACCACCAACACTAGTATATGACTAGTCTCCTGTGTGCTCCAAAAAATCAAAACTACATAAAATACACTACCAAGGACTATTCTGCCTCGCAATCACTCTTTTTAAAATATAAATCCAAAAATCACTACCTATGTAGACTCATGGGTGCTCGCGACAACTAGCGTCACCCTAGATTCATGTATCTTCCCACCTGGATACCCTGCTACCGTCTCATATCCTCACCTCTATTCGCTCCCAATACAATCTGGCACACATATCTAATAAAGGAAAAAAACAATCTATCTCAACAGCCCTCAGTCCTCTTGTAATGTAAACCAAGATCAAAATACCTTCTTGCTAAAACTAAATTACAAAAGGGGCCCCAGGACACATTCAACAACTTATTCACCTTCGCCCACCTTAAAACTACTGATGTATATGTCACAAGATCCAACTTATCCTTTTGCTGGCGTTGAGAATGCCAAAACTGATTGTGACATGTTCAGAGACCCTGAGGCCATTTCGCAAAGTGTTTGGCAAAGGTAGTATGCCTCTGGGTAGCCATAGTGGAAATGGTGGCACCATAGTATGAACAGTCATATCATAGTTTGTCAGGTAAGCGGAACCACTTTTATGGTGTAGTCACCACCCCTGGTAGAATGGACTCACTGCTATCATGCTTCCTCTCATATCGGGCACGCATTGTTGGATCCCCTACTCTCGCCATCTCACTGTTTCTCTCCACTATTAGTGTGCCATCAAAAGGGTTACCTGCCACAATCAACTTTCCATCTACTGTCTTAATATGACAAGAAATCTCCAAGCCCAACTACTTATGATTCACCTACCAGGATTTCCACTGCAAAACTGCCAAATCCTGATATAAGTCTTTATTAGTGGAATGTCCTCTAGCATAGTGGAGGCACTTAGTCCAGTGGTGTCTATCTGTCATGAACACGGCTTAGCATGGAGAAGGTTTTTACATGACACATGGGTATGAGTCACAGGTATGTTATTGTTTCGCGCATATAACTCATTCAGGTTATATGAGTTGTTATGTGAGGGATTTGTGATGCTTTTGCACATGGCTCAAGTATGAGTCATGGGACGTGCGCCTGACGAGTATGCCTTGCGCGCGTGCCTTGTGGGTAAGCCTTGCGCATATGATTTATGTTTCGCACATGACCTCATTATGAGGTCATGGGTTTCGCGCATATGACTCTGTCGAGTCATATGACTTGTTTATTGTGTTATGATTGGTTTATGAGTTTTGCACATGACCTCGCTATGAGGTCATGGGTTTTGAGCATGTGATCACTTTGGTCACACGATTAGTTTGTTATGATTTGGTTTTGCACATGTGACCATTTTAAGTCACATGACTAAAGGCGGGAAGAACATTATATAAGGAGGTCGATGCGGCCGAGGAAGATAGGTTCTTCACGCTTTGTGCTAAGTACTTTTCCACTTATTACTTTAACGAAAATAAAAACACTTTTACGATCTTTATCTTTATTGTAACGTTATCATTGCACCAAGGAAGTCCTTCAAGAAGACAAGTTAGAGAAAACTTACGATAGGCGTTCCCGATAGAAGACAAAGGTCTTGTACTATCGGTAACGTAGGTAGAGGCCTATAGCTAGGGTAAGACAAAGAAAGAAGAAGACAGAAAAGATAAGTATCGTTCCCTGTCGCCAAGAACTAACTATCTAGAAAGGGATCGTTATATTACCAAGCGTCACCTAAGTGCGATGCCAAACGATACAAGACGGCATCCTTCAATCCAGACAGGGAAGGAGATATCGATATCGACGATCAAAACCTTAACCTAGGAGGATTCAGCGATGCATTAGATCACGTCTGAGCAGAACCCTCGAGAGCAGCAAGCCCAGTAACCCCAGAGAAAGGATCACCAGTCGATAGCTCTCCTGCAGG